TAAAAGGAAATCTTTAACCAAAGAAGTCAAGCCGGCACTTGACTCTCCAACGAGTTGTTGGATTCCGCTGCCATGACTCGTTTCGATGATGACCTTCCGTTGTAATGTCTCGAGTTTTCGGCCAACTCCGAAATGAGGTCTCTTGCTTGAGAAAAGGTTTTGTTAACAATACCCCCTCCGCATGCCGCATTCACCATGTGTCTATCTTGATCAACAAGTCCATCATAGAAGTAGAGGATGAGATCTTGTTCCGAATACCCATGATATGGGCAACTAGCACATAATTTTTTAAAGCGCTCCCAATATTCATACAAGGTCTCATTATCTGCTTGCTCAATGTTGCTGATTTGCTTCTTGAGACTTGAAGAGATAGATGCGGGATAGTACCTGTCAAGGAAACTCTTTTTCATTTGAGCCCATGTATTGATGCTCCCCGAGGGAAGATAGAATAGCCAATCTTTGGCGGTGTCTTTGAGGGAGAATGGGAAGGCTCTCAGCTTGATTTGCTCCTCAGACACGCCATTGGGGCACATGCTTGTGCACACAATATGGAACTCTGACAAGTGTTTATTTGGATCTTCCCCTCGTAGGCCATGGAAAGAGGGAAGTAGATGAATGAGCCCAGATTTTAGCTCGAATGTGACCCCGTATCAAGAGTTGGAAAAGTGATACATAAGGGTTGTTGATTTAGATTCGGAGCCGTGAGCTCCCTCAGCGTTCTTGTTTCCAGAGCCATGTGGAAGGACTCTTCGGATTCGCTAGAATGAGAACTAGCACTTGATGATTCCTCCGAAGAAGTATTCGGAAATAAATTCCTGAACCTCTCGAAGGCTTGTTCTGTTTCGGGCTTTGTTTGGTAGGTGATTTGGTTTATAGATCGGTGTTTAACCATATACTCAAACAAAGCTCAGCAAAATAGAAATCTTTTAAATGTTTTTTTTTTATTTTTCTTGAAATAAAATAAAAAGAAAAATAATTGCCCTTCCCCGGCAACGGCGCCAAATTTGACGAGAACTTTGTCACGGTGCGTCAAAATAAATTCAATACTAAACACTTATACGTAGTATAGCGTAGTAGAGTTCGTATCCACAGGGAAAGGAATAATTCTCTTTTTATGACTTAGTAAATAAAAGGGGGGGATTTGGATTGAGTGATTTAATTAAGAACTAAGATGAACAACCTATATGTGTTTAATTCAAAGATAAAAAGGACTTGGCATTGCTACTTTCCACTTGTTGATATATTTTAGTCGATCATTGTTATATCTATAACTTATTCTCTCTCAAATACTCAATCGGGGAGTATATCCACTTCATCGAGGGTAGTTATTAACAACAACCGTTCATTAATAACCCTTACTATTAATCAAATATAGAACAACGCCTTATACCGATTTAATAGTAGCATTTAATCTTTCTAACTCCTTGATGAAATCAATTGAGATTGATAACCTCAACACAACGATTTCGGTTTAACCAATAAAATTAATCCCTCTTAAGTTTATTAACCACGACCGTGCATTAATAAACCGAAGTTACTTACTTGTGAAACCATCAACGATTAACCATCGGTTCGTTGATCGTTTCTAGTAATAATTAATATATGAAACAAAACTAGTTGATCCTTTAAGTAATGTTCAAAATATTAATATGAAATATGAGTAGGGATTAATTAATATTCAAGGAAGAATATTATTAAAGAAGATGAATCCTACTGTAATTAATATCAAGATGTTAACTAATTGTCATCTTAGCAACACTCCCCAATATTAATGTAGAGGAAGAAAATACCATTCTAACTAATGTCGAGATGTTAACTAATTGTCATCTTAGCAACACTCCCCAACATTAATATAGAGATGGTATTAAGGAAAGAACTATTAATTCATATTCAAGGAAAGAAGTTAAGAAAATAACTCACAACTTTAATAATCAACAAGCTTCAAGAGCAACACCAAGAATTGAAGTTTAGCTCCTCATTTGGAGACTAAACATAGCTAGAAAAATATAAAGAAATGATATTCTAAACTGAGCTTAAGAGTATGGAAGAAGGAATGTCTTTATTGTGAAGGAAAGGGGTGTATTTATAGGCTTTTGGGAGCTGCAGGGGCTGATACCCGACCGGGTATATAGGATACCCGATCGGGTATCTTAGGAAATTTCCCGGAAAGCCACATTTCTGGACATACCCGGTCGGGTATGTCGGTTTACCCGATCGGGTATGTGACAAATCTTTACGAAAATTTGCTCTCACGATCCTTTGTTTCCGGATTTGATTTGGACAACCGAATCAAGCAAATACCCGATCGGGTATTGCCTATACCCGACCGGGTATAAGAGTAATTTTTCCAAATCGAAATCTTTCTTGTCTCCTTTCACTTTCCTTGATCTTTTGAGGTCCAATCTTGATCCCTTGGATGAGCTTTGACCTGTTTAGCTCAGAATAGTCCTAATCTAAACAAATTACAAATAATTATGAAAACAAAGTATTACACCAAAAATGTGTAATTTCCACAACTAGAACTAATAAAAACTAGTTAAAAATACAAACATACATGATAGGAAATTCACACTATCAATCGCATCCTCATATCTTTGGTTGTAATCCGCATCAAAATCATCTCGGGTTTGAGATGAAGACCCTGACCCTCGCTTACCTTTGCGTGACCTTGGATGATTCCTCGCAATCTCCTTTGTTCGGTTGCGGCGGAGGTTACCCATATCTACAGAAGCTCTACCACGCTCCATATTAAAAATATAACAAATATTAAATTCAAATAACAATTAAGCAATTAATTTCGAATTAATTAGTTTACCAATTAACTAAAATTCGAACTATTTGTTTTACAATCTAACAACTTTATTTAACAAGTTTAACAATTAACTAGTTTTTATAGAGATTAATAAATGTAACAATTAACTACTACGATAAGAGATTAATAAATGAACCAATTAACTAGTTTAAGAATTAAACAATTAATTTCGAATTAACTAGTTTACCAATTAACTAGTTTTTATAGGAGATTAATAAATATAACAATTAACTACAATGATAAGAGATTAATAAATGTAACAAACTAACAATTAACTAGTTTTTATAGGAGATTAATAAATGTAACAATTAACTACTATGATAAGAGATTAATAAATGAACCAATTAACTAGTTTAAGAATTAAACAATTTATTTGAATTTAACTAGTTTACCAATTAACTAGTTTTTATAGGAGATTAATAAATGTTACAATTAACTACTATGATAAGAGATTATTAAATGTAACAAACTAACAATTAACTAGTTTAACAATTAAACAATTAATTTCGAATTAACTAGTTTACCAATTAACTAATTTTTGTAGGAGATTAATAAATGTAACAACTAACTACTATGATAAGAGATTAATAAATGTAACAATTAGATAATAAGTGTATAAGTAGATATACTTAATATATATATATATATATATATATATATATATATATATAAGTAGATAATAAGTAGATTAACTAGTAATATATAATATTATGTTTATAGTATATATAATATAAGTATAATACTATAAGATTAGTAATACACTTATATATAATACTTTAATATATATAAGTATATATTAAGTATATCTAAAATGTAAATATAAGTAAATAAATTAGAGATGATTATATATGTAAATATAATATAATATATGTAGTTATAAATTTGAGAAGATGAAGATGGAGAAGATTAGTAGAGAATAGAGATTAGAGAGTAGGAATATTTGGAGAAGATGTGTAGTAAATTGTATAGAAAAAATGAAGTATTTATAATTTTTTTGTACCTCCCACCCCCCCCCCCCCCTAACCCACCCCGGGACTTCAGGAAGGCTCCCAATGGCTATATAGTCATTTGGGTTCAATCACAACGTCTCTAAGGCCTGTTTGGATGGCCAAAAGAATTTTTTAAAAAAAAAAAACTAGCCGTTGGCCCGAACCGGCCGGGCCGGGCCTCCAATTTCCAGAACCGTGCCCGAACCGCTCCCCTCCCCCGGGCCGGGTCAAAGCCCGAACCTCTATCCTTAACCGGGCCGGGTCCGAACAATGGCGGGCCGGGCCGGTTCAGGGCCGGGCCAGCCCGGTTTGGTCCATCCCCTAGGGGTGGGGGTAGGAAGTAATTAGAAAAAAAGTACACAGCCCGACCCGACCCGGGCCCGGATCCGGTAACTACCCCGGCCGGTTCCGGGTCTCAACAACACAAAAAAAACCGGTCGGGCCCGGCCCAACTCCATGCCTACCGGGACCAAGTCCACCCTATCTGTTACCTTTGCCACTCTTAGTCACCAAGGGAGCCTGCCGATTGAATTGTCTAGCGTAGGGATGGACTCGGGTCCGGGCCGGGTCCGGGTCGGGCCTAGGCCCGGGCGGGCCGGCGGGTCAGAAATGGTGGACCCGGGACCGGCCCGGGTAACCACCGGGTCCGGGCCGGGCCAAACCCATTATATATTTTTTTTTTGTTTTCCTCTTCCTAATTAACCCCCCTCCCACCCCCAACCTCCCAAACCACCCCAAATGGCCCAAAATACCCAGCCCAACCCGAAAAGTTAAAAAAAAATTGAAAAAACAAAAAAAAAAAAAAATTGGCCCGAACCGGGCCCGGGCCCGGCCGGGTCGGGCCTTGTTTTGGGTGACCCGAGCCCGGACCGGAAAACCCACGGGCCGGGCCTACCCGGACCGGTCACTGACCGGGCCACCGGGTCGGGCCGGGCCGGAACAGTGCCGGTCCCAGGCCGGTTCCGGGTCGGGTCACCCGGCCCGAGTCCATCTCTAGTCTAGCGTCACCACCTAAAGTCGCTCAATTAAACCCTAGATAGACTAGGTTCCATCCGCTAGCAAGAACTTAACAAAAACAAATTAGAAACAAGACGCAATGGCTTACCTCGACGGCTCTACCGGACACGCACTTAAGTATCAGCATACACTGGGAAAGAATTTTAGAAAATTGAATAAAAATGACACCACATCAAATCCCTAAATATGGCATAAACTTGACACTTACATCAATAATTAACCAATTATTGACTGAATTCGTCACAGGATTATTCACAAGATACCCACAGAACAAACAAGTTTTACATTTAACACCCCAGAATAAATACTGGGAAAACCAAAATCTATAATACTACCATATCTCTACCCTGAACTCCTGAAGATTTGAACCTTTTCAGCTGTGGTTAATATAAAATTCTGAATGTTATTTACAAATTACAAGATCTACATAGCAATCTACTTCTCTGACCACCATAATCTATAATAGGATCTCCTACACACACTGAAATACAAATGATAGTGCAAAAAACTTACAAAAAATGCATGGCTCTGTATATGAATTCAAAAAAGCCCATGTGGGACCACACCTTAGTGTGCTGATATTACAATATATGGGTGTAAAGCCACAGGGCTCCACGCCTCCACGTAGTTCAATGGACCCACGTGATTTTCATCATTCCATACCCAGTAAACTGGACACGTTAAAGCATGTCCTCAGAGACTCCTAAAAGGACTTCTGCTCCATATTTTTTTATATTTCATTATATATATCCTAAACTTGTGACTTCTCAGGCACTCGAGAAACTTCCACGTCAGCAAAATGAAGCAATCGCCTAAGTCTCAACACCATGTCACAATGGAGAGGAAGAGCGGACCTCCTTTCCAAGTATGCGGGGCTCACAGTCATCCATGACAACGCGTGGAGCTCAGCTGCTATATTCTCGAGAACCAAACGATGAGTTTCCACTTCAAAATCTTTGGTTTCCAAATTCAAGCCACTCTTCCCCCCAATTTTCGGGGCGCCACCCTTAACCATTACTTTCTCTTGTGGGCCACGGTTTCCGCCAAAGTAGTCAACGAGGCCGACCGTAAGAACGGAAGGCCACTCCTCTCTTGAAATATTCCGAGCATCTCTCCTCATCGTAGGTACAGACTTTGAGACCACAAATCCGGTCGATAACGGGAGTGCAGAGCCTTTGCTGTGGAGGAGATGTGCCAGTGGAGGGGATTCGGCAGTGAGGCATGTCGGCAGCTGGAGGTTTGCAGGGGCTAGAGAGCGCATGTTAGGGGAGGGAATGAATACATAGGATGTGGGAGTCAAAGAGAGGGACTTCACAGGGGTATATCCTTCAAGATAACTTGGTGGACCTGGAATGTTGCTGCTACTGCTTTGACTTGCCCCTTTGGGAAAATAGGAAGAAACAACACATTAGATCATTGTTATATGGGAATGTGAAAATGACTTGCCACATGTTCCAAAAGCAAATGAGGAGCTTGTTTGGAGCATTGGGAGTAGAAGAAACACAATATCAAAGAATCTGGTTTTTATTATATTTGATGTGTTTCTTCACACATCAAACAAGTTGATTATGTTAAAGTTGGTTAAACAACAAATAAAATTTAAAATATAGCTAGAATTGATTATTTCTAATAGATATAAGAAAGGGCATCCCGGTGCACATTGGCATCCCGCAAGGCGAGGGTCTGGGGAAGGGTCCCACCACATGGGTGTACAAAGGGCAAGCCTTCCCTTGTCATTTTGACAAGAGGTCACTCCGAAGACTTGAACCTGTGACCTCTTAAAGTTTGTGGCAATACTAAAATGGAAAAATACCTTGACACGCAGAATCTGCTTGAAGCATGAGCTGCAGGGAGTGATCAATTGAAACTGAAACAAAACTAATGCTTTGGACCCACTGAAGCAAGCATCTGGAATTATCAACTAAAGGGTGACCACCAATCATCTGCTGCCTTGCATTGGGTCCCAGACCACCTTTAATGAATGAAGAAGCCTTTGAGTGGGAACTATAGAGCGAGGGACTAGGGGAAGATGGTAAGGTTCTCTCTTGTATTAAATTCATTTCTTGTTGTTGCATGGAAGTTCCATTACTGTTTGGAGGTACCCCATCAGGTACATGTCGCCTAAGCTGTAAAGGCCATTTTTTCACCTCAGAGCCACCAATTGCATAGAGTGCTTTCTGCCATTCTGCACATGTATAGCCACAACGTCATATTTACTCCATAGACATTTTACAATCAAAAATATGAAGCTGAGCAGGATCAACTGAATAATAAATAGGAGAAAATAATTTAAGTACCGCAAACTTTAATGGGGTGTGAGATGTGTACCCCAAACTTGCATATGTAATATGTATACCCTGAATTTTATATAAAAAGTTATTTTTGCACCATAATTATATGTTTTTACAAATACAAATCTATTGGAATAATTATATAATTTAACATACCTTAAGCCTTGTTAGAATGCAATTAACATTCTATAATTTCATTTGTGAAATAAATAATATTACATCAGGTACAATTTAATTTTAATTGCATCCTCATAAATGTTTTGTGTATTTAAAGTGGTGTACTTAACACCATAAAATTACATTTATGAAAAAATATATGGTCATGGTGCTAAAATAACTTTTTATATAAAGTTTGGGGTATATATATTACAAGTGCAAGTTTGGGATGCTTATGTCACACCCCTTCAAAGTTTGGGATATTTAAATTATTTTCCCCTAATAAATATGGTCTACAAAATCTAATTTAAACAATTGGCCCTCTGTATTAGAGATGGTCCAAATTTGGTCCACGTCCACAATACTAGTACATTTTAACTTGTGGTCTATCAAGCATAAAGGTGTATGATAAGAAATAGCAATGAACTTAAGAAGGCAAAATTGTCAAACTCAATTTGGAATTACCAATTATAGACTAGAATCCAAAATTGGAATATACTCAATTTAGTATTGTTAAGGTTGTATGCGTGTAGCTTCATGTCTAATCTTAGCCCTTGTTTGATTGGAGGCTTTGGAAAGAAGGGAAGGAAAGTGGAGCATTGGTGTTTGATTGGGGGAGTTGAAGGAGGGGAGGAAAGTGTAGGAGCTATGAGCCTATGAACTCCTCAAGACACCACATTTCTCACCACCAATTTGAGGTATTTCCGAGGGGTTGCACTTTTTTCTTAATTTTTCATTTTTAACATCAACCTGTTCTACAACATTAAGGTATATATATTTCTGCTTTATAATTGCTAAAAGAATTATATCAAATATCAAACCTTCCCTTCTCATTTTCACAAGAGGCCACTACCAAGAATTAGGCTCCCTCCGTCCGGCAAAATAATTCCCAGTTTGACATGGATCAGAGTTTAAAAAAGTGGGAATGAAGGGGAAATGTATGGTTGTAGTTGAGTAAGAAAAAGGTAAATAAATGGTAGGCACACAAACCTTTCCAAAAAGGGAAATGGGAAGAATTTTTTGGAACGTCCCAAAAAGGTCAGTGGGAAGAATTTTCAGGGACAAAGGGAGTATCAAATATGCAAAAGAAAATATTTCTAAAATAAAATTCCTATGCACTTCTCCATTAATTAAAAGATGGTTTTTTTAACTTTTCCGATTTCCTCATATTCTTTCTCCCATTTAAGCATAGGATGACTGGTAGAAGAATACTGAGAATACCATACATAAAACAAAAACCTTCCAAAACAATAGAACTCCAGCATATCAGCAATTAGAGCAGAAAAAAGTGTTCACCTTGGCACTCTAGCTCAAAGAAGTATCCAATACGCGCAATCACAAAGTCTCTAGGATTGGCAGTGGCATCATCAGCACCACAAGCCTGAAGTATCTGACACCCTTGCTGCAAGATCTGGACAAAAAGAGATTGCAGACCCTTTGTATCCTGCCTGCTACTGATACCCCCAAAGGGATGTATGTAACTGTCGAGCAACTCTCCCCTGGAATCTGTCCATATGCACACTAGCCACCGCCAATCCTCTGTCCATCCGTAGCAACAGTGCAACTTTTGGTGGCAAGATCCAGAACCATCAAATTCTCTCCCTTCAGACAGAGAGCTTGCTCCTATATCTCCACTGATACCATCATCTAACAAAAGTCTTGAAGATTCAGATGAAAGGTTCCCAGAAACAGGGAATGAATGTCCACGCTCTAAAGAACCAGGATCAGCAAGAATGAAATGTGGTTCAAATAAATATCGGATCTCATCTTGGAAAATGATGTCGCTTATTCTGTTAGGATCATTTCCAATTCCTCCAGCTCTAGACATCTGCCATGAGTTATCCCATGTATTCCTCAGGTTAGCATCGAGTTCACCCTCTCTCTGAAAGGAGGAACCTACATTTCGAGAACCATAATCCTTCCACATTGGAATAGGAGAACTCATTTGCATCAGGGCGGGATGCGATCTGCTTGATACGGATGACAAAGGAGCCGTGTCATTTGAGGACCCACGAGAAATTCTGCGAGCTTTGTTGTAAATAGTGAATGCAATTTCCTTCAGGATCACAAGCTCACTGAATGGAGGGCTTGTAACCCTAAAGATGGCATCAACCGTGATTATCTGCAAAACCAACCTAGGAATACAAAAGCCTGAGAGAGTCAAAACATTGGAGAATGCCTCATCCACTGCTGCTGAGTAACTTAAAGCTTTCCCAACTTGATTGCGCAACGTAGATCGCCTCTCTTTGTCAAAAGAGACGATAACTGATCCAATAGCCGTAGCAGCTTCAACGACAGTTTGCAAGACTGCAAGAGGCTCAGGAAATGGGCATACAACATAGACTACCTGATATTATTTTAATGACATAGACAACCATAACACCTTAAGAAAGAAAGAAAGTAATTATTTAAGAGTATAAACACATTGTTTAGGGAACTTCGCGAAAAGCGCATAGTAGCACTAGAGTACTGGAGGACCAAAACTAAATTGAAAGACGAAAGTTGATCAAAATTTCAAACTACTACTAAGCTGAATAGTAAAACCAAGTGAAGAGCAAAGCGTGTAAAATGATTAATAAACATACTTTTAAGTTCTGACTGCACAACTTATGTTTCCATGGTTAAGCTCATTAACTTATTTATTGGTTCTTTTATGTACTACATATATCTTATCCCCATGGGATACAACGAAATCTAAATGACTAAATAAGCAAGTAGTTTTAAGCAATGTCAACGCCACAAAGATCTCTGTCCATACTTCCCTCCTTATCTTCACTGGCATTTTCATCGGATTCTGTTAACAGATCTAATAATCTATGCCTGCTTCAATTACATACCTAAGATAAACTCTCATCCTAAAGACAACGCTCCGAACACTTTTGGCACAAATGTTGATAAAAAAATATCTCCCAAAAGATATTATGGCCCACTCAGTATGTTAGTGTTACTAGCCAAGAAAATACATCTTTATTTTGGTCCACTGATTTGTAACCGTATTATGAAGTGAGATGATACAAATAGAGTATCCCGAAATGGAAAGTGGGAGTGTGGGACATATATATCTGAGACGGAGGCAGTAAATATATACATGTATGACTTCTTACTCATTGGACTACAATTACCTATGGGGGGCACTTTTTAGTTGGCTTTATTTGTTGAAAAGAAGACTGGTTTTCTAACCACATACCAGAACCACGACTACACATATCTGTGGAAACCCTAGTAGTATTGGCCTTAGCCCATTTGTGTATCTTGTATAGGAAACCCTAGTACTCTAAATATAGCTATAAATATAGCTTCTTGTATATCATTTTAACATCAAGTATATGAAATACAACAATACTTGTTCACAATATCCATAATCATAATGAGTATCTCGAGTATATATCACAAGTCTGGGAGCATACCCATAATCATAATGAGTATCTCGAGCATATATCACAAGTCTGGGAGCAATCATCTTATTCACACGTATAGGATACATAAAAGACAAATACACAAACATGCATAATAATTCAAAACCCTCTCAAGCTTGAACATATGGCTTGGCTAGTTCACTTTCAAGTTTCAAGTAAACTTAAGGCTTGATTTTAACAAAAAGTTTGGCTTGAACTTAAACTTAAGTTTCATGCTAGAATTTGGAAATTTCAGTTAGAGTTCAACACCTAAACTTGAGCTTTTGACTGACATTTTTCATCACTTCAGTAGTTCAGTTCTCAACCTAGTGGGATTGATAAGCAAAAGCATTATTGGAAATATTAGGCTTAGCTTCAAAAGTAGAGAAAAACCACCGTAAAATTTGCCAAAGATGATATTACTTGTTGGCGCATGATAAAAAGGTAATAGAAGGGGGTCACTTGTGTGAGCACATAAAGGCGGAAATAACTGGACTATCTCTCCATTGCAATGTAAGGGGGTGTATTGTATTGAATCATGGTGGATTTTTTTAATCCATGGACTCCTCTACAAGTCCATAGACTTTTAAATCCATAGACTTTTTATGAATGAATTTTGTTGATTTGCATAAATCCATGGATAAGTCCTTAGACTTCTAAAAAAGTTCAAAGACTTTTTAAATCCGGACAACCGCCGCCGGTTGCCGGAATTTTCCCCTGATAGCCGCCGCTGACCTGACGGAATCTTGCCGCCACTGATCTGATGGAATACCGCTGCCAGAGTTTGCCGTCATCGCCACCAACGCACTGACCTTGGTTATGCAACGGAACTAGGGGACAATTAAATGTACTAATTAATTAAATTAGGGGTAGAAATGTAATGGTTAGTCCCATTTAAGAAATTTTATCTATATAATTCATCTAGCAATGAGGAGTTCTACAAGAATATATAAGGCTTAAGCATCCAAATTTATTTTTATTAATTAGAAACCTCAAAATTGGAAGAATGATCAACAAACTCGGTCTTTTATGATCAATTGCAATATTACACAACTCAATGAGTCAGATACTAATCATCACTTAACTGTTACACTCATTGCTACATGCGGTACGAGCATAGATGCAATCGAGCTTTTCTTCTTAATAATTGTTTTGTTTTCATTTTAAACTTGTTAAAAAAATGTATAGATTTACGGTCAAGTATTTATTAGTTTGATATTATAATTTTATGTGTTAGCGGTTTAACGATGAACCAAATATAATATTATTGATTCTTATATCAGTTCTTCATAAAAATTCTAGAACCGAATCAATATTGGATTAACAGTTCTTGAAATGGTTCCTAATTTTATTTTGAAGAACCGAACTGATCTCACCCCTAAAATTTTCTTCATAAGATGATGTATAAAAAATCACTTTTTTTACTTTTAGGTTTATCTTGTGTATCAGTATTGATGTAAAAAATCCTTGTTCAATTTTATTTATCATATGGGAAAAAAATCAAAATTTAATATTCAAACCTTGCATATCGAGACCGTCCTGGTACCCACTTTCCCACCCGATACTAGTCCAGACCAGTCGGCCGGTTTGTGATCCCAAATAGATAATTAGTCAAATCTAGTTTGGTTCAAGAACCGGATCTATGCATACTAGTAACGAGTAGAAAACAAAAGAAAAAGTCGAGGGAAATCTTTGGTGATGAGAAAAGACGATTGAAGAGAATTAAAGTACTAAGAATGAGTTAAAAGTTCATGAGAATCCATGGTTTTAAAAGTTCATAAGAATGAATGGAAGTTTGAATACACCTAGACTAATTGAGACTTGCAAAAGTCTCAAATTGAACAATTTAAATTTTTCATTTGGATCTACTCTTATAGTCTTATACTCCCTTCGTCCCGCTAACAATGGGACAAGAGAGAGTGACACGCAAATCAATAAAAAGTGGTTTATGTGGTTGATATTGAATTGATAAAGTAAGAATAAAGTAAGAATGATTTAGAGCCACACAAACTTTGCCAAATTTGGTATGAGACGGTCTTGGTGGGACGGACCGATAAGGTAAAACGGGACAATCATAGCGGGACGGAGGTAGTAGATGTTAACTGAAGTGTTTATTATACATGTAAAGTTACAATGATGTATGTATTGTTTCATGCAATGCATTATGCTAACATATTACTATTTGGCACAAATGATATTATTATTTTTAGACTAAGTCATTTTTAAAATAAGAACATGAGGGTGAACGAAATAACTTTGGGCTAAAGTTGATCTATATCAACTAAAGACATTTTTACTGCTCATTCAATTAATCAAGGAATTTGAATTTAAAAATAGCATAATTGCTGAAACATCCTAAGATCCAACAATAGCTTTCTAAAAAATCGAAAGTGTTGTTTCTGTGGTCATTTTAGATAATCTCAAATGAAAAATCGTAAGAAAAACGAATTTGAAAATTATAACACTTCATTAAAAAATTATTGAGTAGTAAGATAGAGTTATATGAACTCAGGGCTCAATTAAAACTTTTTCAGGGCTCAATTAAGACTTCTGCAATTTCATCTACTTTTGAGAAGTGATTAATTTTAGAGGTTATATGAAAAGTCTTAATTATATGTCTCTTCTTCCCACTTCCTGTCTGGCAAGTTAAATCTTAATTGAGCCCTGAAAAAGTAAATTTCATGCCAAGACCAACAATCAATTATTAAATGCAAAGGTTAAAATAATAACTTACCGTGCATGGGCCACTTTTTCCATCTTTTACGTTTAGGCATGAACTCAGTTTTAAAGTTCTGAGAACCTTTGAAAGAGACTTTAAAAAGCTTTCCAAATCCCAACCATTGGAGAGAGAGAGAAAATAATCACTGATTGATCCCAGCATAGATGCACTGCTACTGTCAATCTTCATAGACTGAGGACAGTCAATTGGAATAAAACCTGAAGTGTTTTTCCCAGAATCTATCTCCATCTCATTACCAACACAATGAGGTAAATGGGAACCCAGTTTGCAAGTGTCGTAAACTGCGAACATGGAAAAGCAACTCATAAGAGAAAATCATGCACATTCTTCTTCATTTTTGAAGGAACAATAATGTCAGACCTCTCCATGGAAAACTTTGGACGTGATTTCAATAACTGAAGAACCTAATGAAGATTAAATGGGCTCTTATAAGATTTTCACTATTAACACGTATGAACTAAATCATGTAAAAAGGACACTAGGAAAGGACACTATCAAAGAAGCTCAAAGAACAGCTGAAATATAAAATTGTGTCTGCAGCAGTCGCATAGTTGTGCCCTATAGCTCAACCATTTTTAACAACCACAGCAAGACACATTTTATAATTATTGATGGGTCCCTTATGTTGCGAACAGCAATATGGTGGTTTCAGTTGTTCTAACCCCATTTAAACTCAACATCTTTCCACTAAACCTCTACATCACTTGCGGTAGAAATGAATCAAAAAAAGTTTTCTGTAGCAATAAGAACCACAAGAAACAATAATTCAATGGATATGCACTAACCAGTTCCAAGTTGTTGAAAAAAATCAGTAGCAGCTTTTGTTAATGGATCAATATCTGGACATACAACATAGTACATCATCTGCAAATTTGTGAAAAGAGCAAGCTTAATTTAACTATTTATTCTCAAATGATGTTGATCAAATCCACTATCTCAACATATATGATATTTGTGAAGGTTAATTACAAACGGACATACATAGATTTCACACCATTCATAACCTACATTTTTCGGCATGGCATAAGGTTCAAAAGGAGCCTTCTCCCACAATTGTAGAGAGCTAGGTGATGTCTTAAGCCAGTCATCTTGGTACCTATTAACACAAATTGATTAGTGAACCTATATTTATAAATCATCATAAAGAAGATTACTAAAAAGTAGGGATGGGAATATGGGATAGGACCGGGCCAGGGGGGTGTTGGGACCGGAAAAAGCCTGATAGATGTTGGGTATGTTATTTAGGGATAGACAGAAGACCCAATAAATTCAGGCCGGACAAGATCTTTTGCATTTGAGTTTGAGACAGGTCTGGACCGGGCTGGTTTGTATCTGGGAAAAAAATATGGCCTATTTCTTAATATTTTCTGCATGTTTTCAATTAAAATATGTTTGAAAAGACATATGACAAACAACCTTTCTCATAATTATCACAAAATTTGTCAGCATCATTACAAATCTCAAATTCAACCACCAAACACAAATTACTACAGATTTAAAAAATTATACGTAGTATAATATAAGTTTTTTATTTTTTTGATGGATTCTGGTATTTTAGGCCTGGGCTGTCTGTAACTATTTAGAATTAGCTGGAAGGATCAAACAGACCACGTTCAGGTCAGTGGTTTAACCCGGACCACCCAGAACAAAAATTAACCAAACCAATGGGAATTTCGGTCCAGGTTTGCATCAGTTTTCAAGTTTCAGGTCAGGTTATCCCACCCCTACTAAATAGGTTATCAATGGCACGGTACAATGCTGCAGTTATCATTGCCAGTTCAACACTTCCGATGTGAGTATCAATAATTGGAACAATGATGCATGAATATCTATCACTAGAGACCAAAACACAGTCCTGCTAATACACCACAGACAGAATCCTTTAACGACCCGATTACTACACAGCAAATTATTTCTACAAAGCTATAAAGCTTATTGCCAAGCATAATGGATAATTAAAGACCAACAAATATCAACCAGAGTGAAGCCTGATCATGCATTCTCTACAAATTTTCTATTTTTTCATACCCAACGAGTATGGCAGGATAAGGAACTGCAGCAATAGTTGGTTTAAGACGTGAATTCAGTAGGTGTTCAGACTCTGATGAAGTGTCTTGACTTAACCTTCGCTCAGTTGCCCCATCCCCTCTTGATGCATCTGTACAATAAGATAGGCCAATTACATTTTACTACGTATAACATAATAAAACGAAGTTTAGGAACAGACAACATATGTGCATTTTCATACCTTTGAAAGAAGCTGATGCCACAGCAGATGGAGATGGGCTTATTGGTTCTCCAACAGACAAAGATACGGTGCTTGAAGAATCTCGACATTCACTTGCACTTCCTGTAGACTCCGCCAGAAATCCATCCCCTGATATTGCAGCATCATTGGAATGCCCACGGCCTCTGCACCAATCAGTTACTGATAGTGGTCCATCCAAAGTGCCAAATGCGGATTTGAGAGCACTTTTGACATCAGACTGGAGTAAACTAATTGCTAATGAAGCCTGAACCTGCATGTGGATATCTATGTGTATGATGAATAATACCCCAAATCATTTATGGCTATAGTTTACAAAGCACATTGACATAACCATCAAAATAAAATATGGCGACCATCACAAAATTGTGGGATAAGGAATAAGAGACATCTTTTCAACCAAGAATATTTCTGATAAAAGGACAGAGAGTATGCATGTCAATGGTAGAAAACTACATGAAGTCATCCTTCGAGAGAGATATGAATGACTAGAAAAGAACATGCACAAGGAAACTTGTTTTACACCAAAAGGAAGGAGAAAAATGAGACTACGCTGCATTTGTTTAGAAAATGTGTTGTAGAAACTCTAAAAAGAATGCTATGAATGAGTTAGCAACCTCACATCTCTACAGATGATGTATGTATGCTGGAATACAGTTTTAATTTCAGTTGCAATACAAAATTCTCTTGTGACACAGAATAATGAATCATGATTTCTATTTCAGCAATCATATTCTTCAGCAAAATACAAAAGTTCATCATTAGCAACTAACTATGGACATTTCCTGCAAACAGAAGCTCAGGTCAGAGAGCATATTGACTCATATGTGATAAACTCATAGATTGAAACTTTTAGTATTAGTTTCCAGTCTCCTAGTAACAGAGGGGTTCCTTCGGTCTTCTTTTAACTCAATATAGTTCAGGTAAAAGTAGCTTACATCAGTTGAAAGTGGATCAACAAGCTCAACACCAGCAATGTCCAAGGAATGGCGGGAAGCCAAAAGTCCCCCACAGCCTGCATGAACCATAGAAGGCCCACATGCAAAACCTCGCCTCCATTGCTCCTGCAGTGCAAGCCAACCAAAGGGCCCATCATTACAATCTGCATCCAGTGACACATCGACAAATGATGTAGCTTGCTGAACAAGTAATGCCATTCCATCAAGGAGCTCTTGAAGTGGTTGCCTCAACCCATATGAAAGCATATTTTCTTCAACGTAAGAATTGTGTGGTCCAGATTGGCAGGCTTCTATACCAGATGACATCAGTTTTGTGCCTTTTGGAGAAGTACGCAAAACACCAACTGTAGAATTGAATGACCCATCTAATAATCTCACATCAATATCACCAGCTATCCTAGTTGGTATTGGTTCTTTCTTCTTCACATCATATTTGTTTGACATATTGTCAATTGTGACAATAGAGTCAGCTGGTGCGTGGCTCAAATTAGTATATGCAGAAAGCTTACTGGCGATAGGGGGGTGGTTGGAAGATCGGAGTGTATGCCTTATTTTGCACATATATGCCTGGCACATTAGGCATTCAACTTCTGTGGCCAATAGAGTTTTCATTGATGGGATAACATTCTCAACTTTTAATGAGCCTTCATCTGTTTTACCAATTTTGCTCTGCACGGATTTCAAAGTATTTGTAGAATCTAAAGCAGAAAATGGATGTGCTCCTTGAACCTCCTGAGTTGCGCAGTTCTCAGAATTAGACAACTTTTTATTATTTTGGTCCATTCCGCACTCAACATGAGTGTAATATTTCTTTGATTGAAAACTGGATGCATCATGCTTTCCTGCAGACGTCTTAAACTTTGCAGCAATGCCAGAATTGACATCAGATCTGCCAAGGCGAGGAGAGGGTGGGTTTGCACAATATACATAACCATTTGTGCACGAATTTGCAGTCTCTACTTTACGGGATTTGGGAATATATGGGCTTGCAAAGACTGAATGAGAAAGCTCACTTGCACGGGCTTCAACTGCTCCATATTCCGGAGCGAATGTCATCATGGCTTCAACCTTTGTCAAATTATCAAACTCGCCAGTAGAATATGCAAGATTGTTGTTCACTTGGTATGAGGCTTCAGTACCTCTAGAAACTTCTTGAGGTTTGGTCACAGAGTCATCTATACATGCCAAAGGTGGAGGATGATTAAAACTATCAAAAGATTGAAAACCTACAGGTGCAAGCACCTGCTCTGGCAAATCCATTACAGAGGTGCATGGACTGTTACCAACATCGCTACAATCAGCCCCTGTAAACACAAGAGCATGGGACTCTGCAGTTCCTGGGGGCTTTGCCATTGAAAAAATAAAATGAAATGAAATCAGACAGCTAAATATATATCTTAAACTTGAAATGAAAATAAAATAAGTAGAAATTATATGGTCATCAGTCACTTGATCAGAAGCAAAGAAGGGTGCACACATAAACAGTACACCTAAACCAACGCCGCGAGGTGACCGTTAGAAAAGGACAAATATTTGGAAGTAGACAAACTAAAGTAATAGATATAGTCCGGAGCATAGAAAATAAGATTATATGTGTTGTTCTGATTTATTAGCCCAGCTTCATTGAGATAGCTCCCTCCCCAATGCCTACAAAAAACTTGTTTGTGATCACCACCAGCTAGACTTTAGCCAATTTTCTTTAGCATTATGGAATTTATATTCTTCATTTCTTCACTACTTCCAAATCAGTGCATTCAAATGGAGAAGTCCACCTTCAAGTGGTATAGATTGGAGATAAGCATAATCATTTGCACAATTTATGAAATTTGACAACATAATGTTATATCCACCATAAGCTCATGATAATGAAGCACGGAAACTTCCCACAATTCATGTTTCAAACACTTTGAAACTTTAGATTCTCGTTCCGGGCCATCCCGTAATTAAAACAAATCAAACCGGCTTCTTCCCTAACTAATTACCACTTTGGAAACTTTAAGTTTGCAATTTTTTCCTTTTTGGTCGGGTTTCATAATAGAAAACAGCGTCTGTTTCAAACTTTTCAATGATTTTTTATGGAACTCTTCCGAACAACATGACCTTTGTGACAATTCATGATGCAATGCATTGCTAGAATTGTATTGCACTTTTTGTTTATTTATGTACTAATATGTAATAATTCCTAAATCTGATCATGTAGAATATAATTATAATTAATTATTAATCAAAGTTATTTAGAAAATGTGTGTGTGTATTAAAAACAAGTGTAAATAATTAAATATATTTTTTACAATCCCATTTGTCGTGTTTCATGTTTCCCGTTTATGTGGTACTTAACGCCTCTTATAGTAATTATATAATAATAGTAATGAGGATCATTACCTCCCCAAAAGATAACACATCACTCTCAAAGAAATCCCCAAAATCTCCAAACTCAGAGAGAAGTGCTTGAATATCCATGCCCTCGCCAGTGTCATCATCATCCCAGCTCCATTGAAGGTCATTCTGATCATTTACTCCCGTAATGGCTGATCTGGTAACTTCCATGGAAGTGTAATCAGTATTCACTGAATTGACAACCCCCCCTGCCTGAGAGTAAGACTCAGAAATCCCAATAAGTGACCGTTTTAATCCCTGCAAAGTAATATATTTGAAGCATAGAGAGCAATAAAGAGGAGGAAATCAACAAAAGAAATGTACAACTCGTGTAACAGTACAATAAAAACAATGGTTAGCACTGGTTAAGTCAAAACAATCAAGATATATGCTGATCGTAAGCATACTTCATATAGATCTTAACATTCCTGTTATGAAGAGGACATTGAATCCTGTTTGAACATAAGTGTCATGCAGGGGGGGACAGTTTTCTTGAATATGCAACCTCAGTCAGTTAGTCAATCTTAATAATGAAGAGCAATTGCAAATTACTGTCCCACTTTGCTAATGTATGTGATAAAAGAAATCTTAGGTTTCAGTGAAAGAGTACTGGGAATTTTACAAGTGAATGTTAAAACCTATGAGAGTGTGAAGAGATGAAGAGTTCTAGCTTTTATTTTCTTTATTTAGCTTAACCATTTAAATTTACAATGATTTTTATCCAGCGGAAGGGAGCCTTTGCGGCACTGGGGTAATGTTGTTGTTGTTTTATCCAGCAGAGTTCCACTCCCTATTGGCAATCATCAATGAAGATTTACAATCAGACATTTCGTTCTTTGACCAACAACAAACTGTTTTAGTTTCCCGTGTTTTCACTACAAAGAAAACTGAGAAACCTACTACAGTCTAGATCATTATTATAAGCTTAGATCAAATATAAAACTGGAGCATGTTTATGTGGTGGTTATTTTGTCAATTATTTGATATGAGCATATCTCACTAGTATTATTATTATTATTATTAATATTATTATATTATGATTATTATTCTTATTGTAATTTAGATACCCACTAAACTGCACTGATACAGAACAGGTCGAAGTGTCAGCCAGGTTCAAGGTTACACCCATTGTTCTAGGCATAGTAATTATACAGAGTAGCAGAGCTTAGAGGAAAGCATGAGTAATAATAGAGATTTAGACTCAAAAGTATATGTGGCTATGTAGTTAGTGTTTCTCCAAGTAACAAAAGAGTACGATAATAATCATAATATGGAACGACACAAATGCATTTAGTTCAGATAAGAAGCTGTATGATTTTTGTTTCATGAACTTTGGTAATACCGTTTTGTGTGACTGTTCTGAAGATAGGCCAGACTGCCTGCAAAATAAAGAATCAGCGTCTGCTTCAAGATCAGCAGTCCTGTAATCGCTATCGCTGGAAGAGCTACTAATGCTACTAAGACTACTATTGTTGCTGTTGCTACTGCTACGATAATTGTGCTGGGTGTGGTTTTCATTTGCTTTGATCCAGGATCCATCCCTTGAATCACCCTTTATGTCACTGTTGAAATCAGAATAGCAATAAGGCACAAATTAAAAAAATAAATGCTCTTATATTGTAAGGAGTTATAACTCTAGAATATATATGACTTTTTAATACCAATGCATGAAGGAGGAGGAAACAGACAACGATGGCCCAATCCAGCTTTGAAGCCAGAATCTGTAAGTTTAGAGAAATGCTTTTAGTTTTCCACTAAGACAAAGGGAGAAGTAACTGCAGTAAGACTTTACTACTGTTTAAGGTTGGTCAGAGATTAAAGCTCACTTGTTGACCATTTGGAAAAATGTTCAAGCCCAGAATAGCCAACCAAAAATGGAGGTATAGTTACACCAGTCTGCTTGCTAGACATACTAAGTTGGGGCATCTTATGTAATGGCCCCATTTTTCTCTTTTAATCCCCTCACATGCTGATATTTTGAAAACAATGTGATTAAACATTTAAACCACTATAGTGTTTGCGTTGTGGTACCATAAGTTTATATGTACTATTTGGCAGACGTTCATCTGCCCATAGGTTAAGTTCTACTCAATACATAGTTATGATATGTAATCTGTTTACCATCATAGGTCCACATTTTGGGGCATGAAAAACAGAGAAAAAGGTACAATTTGGCATCTGACATAAGTTCTACTAATATGTAAAGTACATTCATCCAAAATGACCATCTATTTGGTTCAATTTTCTGGATTTCTAGTCTTTCGTTTGAGTAGCTTCTCTAATCATATAGCTGTCACTTGTCATAGCTCTAGTTCTCAAACATTCAGGGGGTGTTTGGAACTGATTCTGCTTCTGCTTCTTTTTTAAAGCAGAAGCAGAATCAGAATCAGTTTTCAGAAGCTGGTCACCTCCAGCTTCTAAAAAAACTGATTCTAGGAGTGAATTAGAGCACCAGAATCACTTCTGCACTTTCACCCAAACACTTCAACTTCTGCTCCTTCAGGGAGCAGAAGCAGTTTTAAGAATCAGATCCAAACACCCCCCTCAATATAAGTAGCGTCCCCAAAAAGATATCACTCAGTCTTGCATCACCCATATAGTAGACACTGCACTGACTCTATTTCAACATGATAATAATACCTTTTTAAAGATGATTTAGCATAGGAAGTTTGCATGACTGGGACAAGAACAGCCTCGCTAGGATAAAAGAACATTCTTTCGCATATATCCGGTGGTCTGCTATGACCGACTGTGACAACTGTTTGGGACTCTACAACATTATGGCCTTGGAGACTTTTCTGAGAATTTGAATGTTGTCTCAGTGTGTTGCCGGTTTCTTTAGCAGGGCATCCGAGGGAAACTTCAACGAAGCAGTTCTGTCCCCTCAGCTGACAGCTTGAGTCATGAGGTACATGGTTTGGTAGACCCACAATACCATTTGAAGAGGAAAACTTGCCAGAACTGTTCATCCAAGGTTAAAAACGAATAAATAAATACACAACATAAAAATGGATCATGAATAAATTGTTTTATTGGTTTATTAACTCATTAATTAAATAACTAATTACTTAACAAACAAACAATCCATGTTGTAGGACTACGTTTGGTACACTGAACTGAAAAGGCATCTGAACCTGAAATGTTGGACACACCAAAGCTAAATCCCCTCTTTTTTCCTAAGATAGGGACACATGTGGACACTTGAGGACATGGCAATGGGTACTTTTTGCCATCTATCACGTGATGTATAAAGCTTAATTGATAGTTTCAGTGGATGAGGATGAAGGAAATGAAATTTTTGATGATGTTTTAAGTTATTCACTAGACATGTTCTTAAAAGCTTGTTTTTTAATCATGAGCAGCATTTGTCATGCATATATTTGTGCATTAATTTTTATGTACAAACAGTGTGCCTAACATATTCGTGCATTAATTATTTATTATTAGTCCCCTTTCTCTTTCTATTTTAGACTTTCTCATAATAGTTACTGCTATCCTTAAGAGTAGGCTGCTGCCTTCCTTGATCTCTATCAGTCTGTAAAAACTCTGTTAGGTATTCTGCCTATCATAGGCTATGGTACCAATGATAGACACTCCAGGTATAGAAGGGAGGGGAGAAATAAGAAGTTAGGCAGAAATTGGATTTGGGATTAGACTCGGGAGTGCGATACTACTCTAAGTCTCTCAGTCTGTTCTTCTGTCTCTTTCTTCTTTACTGTGCTAATTCTTACGATTGAATTGTAATTCCTCAAGGAATCTGAGAATTTCCTCAGCATTCCAGTGATTAATATACAAAAGTAATCTGCTGGAATTGGAGTATCTAACATACCCATACACATGTACATGGTTGTTAGGGATGGATCCAAACAGTAAAAACAGTAGTATATTCAATCAAGGAATTCTGAGAAATCCTCAGATATCCCAAAGCAACGGAAGAAAAAGTAATAGAAGAAGTATAGAGGCAAGTTCTAGAGTGCCTATCTTTCCCAAGAGTCCCAGTTCCTATTTCCAATTTCTGCCTGCCTTTCTGCTCACAGCTCACCCTATTTATTCTTTTTCTAATGGTCCAGCCCACTTCCATTTAGTTATAGGGCCTAAACCCCTTTTATTACACAATACTAATAAAAGACAATAGTATTCTAATTCTAGTATTATTTTAGGTCTCTATCAATGGTTCATAGAATGAAACCATATATGTACTCTATCATATACCGTGTCAAAATTCAAAAAATAGCATTTAATTTAGGTTACTGCACTTTTTATCACACCAGACTTAATGTTTTAAATGGACTTAAAATAAACTATAAGTTCTACCATTCAGAGTTGTAGTAGTACTAGTAAAATATGTAAAGGGAATGATCAGTATATTTTCCAACAACAAAACGGCATGTGGATCAGCATGTATAGAATAATAAAATAAAAAATAAAAAGAAACAAAAATCCAAATACTCATGTTAGACCTAAGATATACTTGCTTCACAAGGTCATTTGGGCAATATCCAGTAAGCCTCCCACGCATTCCATGAGGTGAGACAACAACTGCAATAATGACAATCTTAAAAAATAAATATCAGAATGCAAGTGATTGAAAAATAATTTGTACTTCCCAATCATAAAACAAGAAATGGATATTCCTAATTATAAAAAACTAAGTTTTGGTTAAGCTAAAAATCAATGGGTGGCCAAATTAAAAATGCCATTACCAGAATCAAATTACTGAATAACAAAGCTCACAGATAAGTTTAAATAATAAACCTTGAAACAGTTCTATATAATTAGTTGTTACTATGTAGTTAATAGGCTCAGACTTGCATAGCATTTGTTAATTTTATACCATAGTACCATATAGAGTTTTACTTTCTTGATTCTCTTTGGTTAGTTGTACTCCCCCCCCCCCCCCCCACAAGGTTGAGCATTTACTTTGGGTGGGGGTAGGGGTGGGGGTGTTGAAACTAAAATCACCTCCTTGCAAAGTGATCATGTGATTAACTGCGGATTGATAACAATAGAAACTAAGTTTACAACTCAACAAGTGTCTTTGAAGATACAATAGGTTAGATTATTAGATATATCAGCAGCATTTCCATGTTTCAGAAATCTCGGAAATTTAGGTTTGAAATGAAGTTAGGGCTGTTAGGATAATGTTGTCCTTTCCATGAACCATCCAGCTTATAGTGTAGGGATTAAGAAAACACACTGCTGTTTAACTCTCAACCGAGCACAACTCATAAATTATAAGTAGCCAGACAGGGAATATGTGCAGTTGTGCACACAGTTCAGAGGGCAACGATCAGGATGCCTAGTTTTCTTTTAGCTGTGTGCCTCTTCCCCCCTCACTTATAGCTTAGTAATACCATTAGTCAAGGATTCCTGGTGCTTTTTCCAATCACCTCAATCAAACTAGTTTTCGTTAACTTCAACACTTACGAAAACTGGTTCATTTCTAAACTCTCCAGTTAAGAGATAGCCAATTTACAGGGGAACGGGAAAACTATAGGCTAGGAGCACTATAACTATCCACTAGCACAGAACGGAACCTGGAAGTGTGTTTCCGGAAGAGTTTGATGAATGTTTAGATACTTTCTCAATGTCACTGCTTGAAAGAGCTCGTATATGTCTGAAGCATGAAAGAATGTTATAAATATTCAGACATATTGGTACCATAACGATATTTGCTACCAGTCCAGTGGAGATGGTGTATCAAATGCATGAAATGAAAGAAACTAACTGAACTGACTTTGAAGATATGACAGCATGTACAAACACTGCCTCCTCTGTAGTAGTAAAGAAGAATTCAATCACTGGCTGGCCTCTCCTACCAAATACATCAATCACAAATTAACCAAATGCAGCAGTTAGAAGAAGATGAGAGGTAGCCAAATCATGGATGCAGACACTTAGGTCTAGCATGTCATTGAAATGTTTACAAAAACATGTGTAGTTTCTCAGCATACCAGAAGGAATCTTCATTATGTGATGACGGGTAATATCTGGCAAATACATCTCCATATCTCATGTATGAGAATGATTTTAGCGCTCTGTTAATTCAACCAAAAATTACTTGGTAAATAAGTGGTGAAATATTTAACGAGATAGAAGTACATGATTAACCTTTCTACACAACTCCTTAAAGCATGAGATAGAGCAGCAGCAACTTCTTCTGAGTCCCCAGGAGCCACCCAGAGTCCAGATGCAAGAACTGCCATAAAATTCAAATGAGTTTCAGATAAGAATGATGTTACAGATGCATTTTTAGGGTTTTAGTTAATTAGAAGAGGAGTCCAGTTTGATGTTATCTTTACATTCAATTTAGGGTTTTAGTTAATTAGAAGAGAAGTCCAGTTTGATGTTATCTTTATATTTAATTTAAGTTTTAGTTAATTAGAAGAGCAGTCCATTTTGATGTTATCATTATATTTAATTGAGCGTTTTAGTTAGAATAGGACTTGATCATGTAAAGGCAGAATGCCTATTTATAACTCTTTTGAGGAATAATAATCATCATCGATCATTAGAAATTATTCCCAGAGAAGTCACGGACTCTCTCTCCCCTCCCCCTGCACTCTTCCAGCCACGGGCAAGAAGAAGAGTAACCGTAACCGGCAGGTTACGACCTCAACCGGGTACCCTGCTTAGACTGCTACCCTATTAGAAAACTAACAGAATGTAGAAGAAGATGAATTGTGATTTCATTAACTCTCAGAATAACAGTACAGAAGTATTTATAGAGCTGAAGCTCTAACCGACTTATAACAGACACAACAGTACAACCAAACTAACTATAACAGCTAGACTTTAATACTAGACTATTACAGGTGGCGTGCATATAGTATTCCTAACATTCCCCCCTCAAAATTAGGGTGATTGATTGGGAAGATCAATCACACTAAGTTTGGTTCTGAATTCAAGGAAGGATGAAGCAGGCAATGGTTTTGTGAGAACATCAGCAACTTGATAAGGGGCTGGAATATGGAATATTTCAAGTTGTTTGGATTGAACTTTTTCCCTCACAAAGAACAGATCAATTTCCATGTGTTTGATGCGAGAATGTAGCACAGGATTGTGTGCAAGCTGTACTGTGCTGAGATTATCACAATAAACTCTAGGAATAGCAAAAGGAATGTGAAGCTCCTTAAGTAGAAATTGAACCCATAGGATTTCAGCTGTTGTGTCTGCTAAACTTCTGTACTCAGCTTCTGCTGATGATCTGGCCACCCTTAATTGCTTCTTGGACCACCAAGAGATGATATTTGGACCAAGAAAGATACAGGATCCAGAAGTAGATTTTCTATCAACAGGATCAGATACCCCAATCAGCATCACAGAATGCAGAGATTGGTAGAGGTATGGTTTTCAGAGGAAGAGGTTGAATAATGATGCCATGATGTACAGTGCCAGAGAGATATCTGAGGATGTGTTTTACTGCTTTCCAATGATCCTGTAGAGGTGTGGCCATGAATTGACAAACTTTATTTACTGCATAGCTAATCTCTGGTCGTGTGAGAGTAGCATACTGTAAAACCCCAACTATAGATCTGTAAGTATAGGGGTCACGTAAATTGTCACTCCCTGAGTTGGTGAGTTTGCAGCTGCTTGTCATAGGAGTTTTTACTCCTTTGGAATCAAGCATTCCAGCTTTATGCAGAAGATCTCTAACATATTTTGATTGAGAAAGATGTAGACTACCATTGCTTAGCTTTCTGACTTCAATTCCTAGAAAGAAATCAATGTCACCAAGATGTTTGAGAGAGAATGAGGAATGCAGTTTGTGAATAAGCTGTTGAATGGCAGTAGAATTATTCCCAATAACCAAGATGTCATCTACATAGATTAAAATGTAGATATGAATGTTGGATGACAGAAAAATTAGGAGAGATGGGTCACATTTACTCTGTTTGAATCCAGCAGCATAGAGAACAGAAGTCAGTTTTTGGAACCAGGCCCTTGGATCCTGTTTGAGGCCATACAAGGACTTATGTAGTTTACAAACAAGAGAAGTATCCTTGGCTTCAAAACCTGGGGGTTGAATCATATAGACCTCTTCCTCAAGATTGCCATTTAGAAAGGCATTATTTACATCAAGTTGTTGAATAGACCAGTTATGAGAAACAGCCAAGGTAAGTAGAATTCTGATAGTGACAGGCTTAACAACAGGTGAAAATGTCTCTCCAAAGTCAAATCCAAACCTTTGGTGAAACCCTTTAGCAACTAATCTGGCTTTGAATTTGTTTAAAGAGCCATCAGAGTTTTCTTTAACTCTGAAAATCCATTTGCATCCAACAGCTTGCTTATCAGGAGGCAGAGGAACTAAGGACCATGTTTTATTTGCCATTAAAGCATCATATTCAGTCTGCATAGCTGAAAACCACTGAGGAGAGGAAAGAGCTTGCTTAACTGACTTAGACTCAATATGAGCTAACAGTAAGGTAGGATTTAGTCTAGGTTTAATAATTCTTGACTTTGCCCTGGTTTGCATAGGATGAGTGTTAGCTGGAGGAGGAGAAGGTGAACTAGAAGATGAAGAGGATGCAGAAGGAGACTGACTTGGAGACAAATGAGGAGAATTGAGAGGCTGGCCTTGGAGACCATGAGAACTGGGAGGGGATGAGTGAAATGAACTGTGTAGTTGATGGAGATTCATTGGAATGGGAAATAGAAGATTCAAAAGAAGAAGACTGATTATGTTGAGGATGAAGGACAGTTAGAGGAGCAGAAAGTGAAGACTGTGGGGTAGTGGAATTAGATGATGATGAAGGAAAGAGAAGTGAGTAGGGAAATTTAGTTTCATGAAATATGACATCTTTGGAGATATACACTTTTCCAGAAGATGAGAGGCATTTATAGCCTTTGTGTTGGGGGGAGTAACCTATAAAAACACACTCTTCAGAGTGAAAGTCCATTTTATGTTTGTTGTAAGGTCGAATAAAAGGATAACAAGAACAACCAAAGACTTTAAGAATGGAATAGTCTGGAATAGATCCATAAAGTTTGAAATAAGGACTGGAATTAGAAATTGATTTGGATGGTGTTCTGTTGAGAAGGTGAACAGAGGTTGCAAAAGCTGTGTCCCAGAATTTGAAAGGCAAGAAAGAATGAGCTAAAATGGATAGGCCTTTCTCCACAACAGTCCTGTGTTTTCTTTCCACAACACCATTTTGGTGATGTGTGTGTGGACAGATTAACCTATGAGAGATGCCTTTTTCAGTGAGAAAACTGGTAAAGGATCTAAATTCCCCTCCCCAATCAGATTGAATGGATTTAATAGGGGTGGGAAATTGAGTCATAACATACTGATGGAAGTTTTGAAAGGCTGTGAGAGCATCTGATTTCTTTTTCAAAAAATAGATCCAAGTATATCTTGTAAAGGCATCTATAAAGGATATGTAGTATGAATATCCATCAAAGGACAAAACTGGTGCTGGTCCCCACAAATCAGTAAAGATTAGTTCAAATGGCGAATGATAAACAGTGTTAGAAGAATGTGTAGGTAATCTGTGTGCCTTTCCAAGACAACAAGAAGAGCGGAAAGACATATCATTTTTATTAATTGTGGACACATTACAGTATTGGAGTACAGATTTGAGGGCTTCAAAGTGTGGATGCCCTAGTCTTAAATGCCACAAATTACAAGAAATTGGTGCAGTACATATTTGAGACTTATTACAAGTGGAAACAAAAGAAACAGGATGAACAGTTTTATTTGTTGTAGACCCTACAGAGACATGTAGACTAGCAGCAGGAGATTGATATGAGCCAAGAGGAGGTATGGACTGGAACTTGTACAGACCATCAGCACCAAGGACTCCATGTAAAAGGATTTGTTTAGAAACCTGAGATTTGACATAGCAATCATGAGGATAGAATTCAAAATAGACATTATTGTCTCTAGCAAATTGACTAACACTCAACAGATTTTTGGTTATTGTGGGAACATGAAGAATATTATTGAGTTGAAGATACTGAGAAGTAAGAAAGGGTGAAGGAAAGGAAGAAAAACCAATAGACTGTATATCCAAACCTTGACTATGCTGTAAGGGGTTCACTATGCTGGAAATTCAGTGGATCAGCAGTTACATGATGTGTGGCACCTGAATCTAGGGACCATGGTTGGTTAGATGGAGCTGGTCCCAGAATTGAAGAATTAGCACTGGCAAAAGCTGCAGAAGGTCTGGAAGAATGTGATTCCCAAGTAAATGTTTCTGGAGTTGGAGTGGAAGATTGCTGGTTGAAGTGATTAGTAGAAGGTGCTGGAGAATTGTAATGTTGGTAGTTGTGCGGTTTAGGAGTGTAGGAAGGTTGATATGGAATCTGAGGTTGATAATATGGATTTGGTGACTGGGAGTTCCAATGGTTAGAGTGTCCAATGGTAGGATTAGCATAGGCTGGATTATGATTTGTATTGGAGAATGCAGGATTATAGCGATGATAGCAGATTAAAGCATGATGGCCTGATTTTCCACAGACCTGACGGATAATAGAGCTACGACCTCCAAAACGACCACCTCGACCTCTGTTGGAGCCACCACGTCCTCTTCCTCTGAAGGAATTTGTGTGATTAGGGTTATTGAACTGAGCAATGTTGACATATGAGGTTTCCGATGATGTAGGAGCTTCAACACGGGCATCAGAACTGGTATGTGGAGGCGAAGCATCAATGCGAGCAATATTTGCAGAGAAGATATTTTGTGAGGTGGCTTCACGAAGCTTTTTCAGTCGCATTTCCTTGAGCAACAGTAGAGGTTCAAGCTCAGAAATGGTTATCGGATCTAGAATGCTTCGAGACGTTACCGATGATACAAGAGACTCATACTCCTCTGGAAGACCTTCCAGAATTACATTGATGTGGTCTTTATTGGATATCGGTTCTCCAACTGAGATAAGATTATCAATAATCGTTTGAATCCGAAGAAGGTATTCTGAAATCGATCGATCGCCTTTTCCAGTGTTATAGAGCTCAGATTTGAGCTGTCTGGCCCTCGCAACAATGGATGACTGGAAGAATTTCCGAATTGTACTCCACAGCTCATGTGAGTGTTGACAATGGATGACTCGAGCATGTAGTGACTCGGACAGAGAGGAAAGTAGCCACGAAAAAAGCATTTGGTCCTGTTGTTCCCAAACAGTGTACGCATCATTGATCGTCTTGCTTTCTTCATCGTCGCCATCAACAAACTGATCAGGAATCTTCGGATTTTCAACAAACTTGAATAATTTGTGCGCTCGGATAACTGATTCAATATGATGCTTCCAGAGAAGATAGTTGTTCGAATCAAGTTTGATTGGAATAGGATGTGTAAAAACTGCTGGAAACGTAAAGTTTCCAGTCGCTTGAGAGGAGGAAGAGGTCGAGCTTGAATTCGTCATGGTAGATCGAGCTGAAGCTCTGATACCATATTAGAAAACTAACAGAATGTAGAAGAAGATGAATTGTGATTTCATTAACTCTCAGAATAACAGTACAGAAGTATTTATAGAGCTGAAGCTCTAACCGACTTATAACAGACACAACACTACAACCAAACTAACTATAACAGCTAGACTTTAATACTAGACTATTACAGGTGGCGTGCTTGTAGTATTCCTAACATACCCCAACTCATCTTGGACCCGTTCTCAATCCCAAAGTTCTATCAATTTGGTATCAGAGCCGTCACGATCCATGGGGCCACAGAATGAGGATTTAACCACCATGATGGAGTTCATGGAGGCTATGACTGCTAGGGTAACCGCAATAGAAGGGCAGATTGTGGCTCTATCTCTGGCAGTCCACAAACGGGATTTCAAATCGACAGAAACACATAAAGAGCAAGCCGATAACAGCCTGATATCACACAGCACCTCAAATCCCTGGAAGCCACAGTATGCGAAGATGGAATTTCCTGTGTTTGATGGCACTTACGACCCTACCAGTTGGTTGAAAAGGTGCAAAAAATTCTTTTTGAACCAAGAAACTCCTAGTGTTGCAAAGATGAATATGGTCTCATTCTACTTGATAGACAATGCACAACTGTGGTTCGATCAGATGATAAAGGAAGAAGGAGAAGTCAACTGGGAGAGGTTTAAAGAACTCTGTTTGGAGCGCTTTGGGCCCCCTTTGAGTTCTAACCCGATTGGAGATATGAAACTTCTGATGCAGGTCGGATCAGTTGATGAGTGTTGTGCCCAATTTCAAAATGCCTTCACAAGAACTTCAAAAATAGAGTCCACCCATCAGATTGCTTTGTTTGTCACTGGTCTCCATCCACACTTACGGGCTGATTGGAGATGGCAAAACCAGGGAACTGGGTTTTGCAATGAACCTTGCAAGGACATTGGAAGCCAGGCAAGCACTAACGCTTCAACCTGTCAAAGCCTCAGGTACTGCAACAGATATGAAACAACGCAGACCGCCACAGCTAAGACAAGCACTCATGACAAAAAGGGCAGAAAATCCAACTGTTAAGCAACTCACGAAGAAAGAAATGACTGAAAGACGGGCAAAAGGTATATGTTATAGTTGTGATGAACAGTGGACAATGAATCACCGATGCAAAAAGCTTTTCTTGATCGAGATAGAAGATGAGAAGGAAGAAGATGGCTTCCCAGACTTGGAGTTGTCTGCCAACGCTATCAGTGGAACTATTAGTTCAATGGCACCACACCAGATAAGGCCACTTGGTAGTCATTGAGAATTTTGTCGCTGCTTAGCCAGTATATGAGCTTGGAGACAAGCTCAGTGTCGAAGGAGGGAGTGATGTTACGGATGCATTAGGATTTTAGCTAATTAGAAGAGGAGTCCAGTGTGATGTTTTCTTTATATTTAATTTAGGGTTTTAGTTAATTAGAAGAGGAGTCCAGTTTGATGTTATATTTATATTTAATTTAGGGTTTTAGTTAATTAGAAGAGCAGTCCAATTTGATGTTATCTTTGTATTTAATTGAGCGCTTTAGTTAGAATAGGACTTAATCATGTAAAGGCAGAATGCCTATTTATAATTCTTTTGAGGAATAATAATCATCATCGATCATTAGAAATTATTCCCAGAGAAGTCACAGGCTCTCTCTCCCCTCCCCCTGCACTCTTCCAGCCACGGGCAAGAAGAAGAGTAACCCTGACTGGCAGGTTACGACATCAACCGGGTACCCTGCTACCCCAAGTCGTCCCTGGACCCGTTCTCAATCCCGAAGTGCTATCAAATGACCTTCAAGCACGCAGTAAAATACAAAGGGCGTCTCACTTCAAAATATTAATAGCGAAGTTGCATACTATCTTGTGGAGAGCAACTAATTTTCAAATTGATCATTTACTTATCAGTAATTTAGTCATAACTCATAACTAACAACAAAGCATACCTCTTAATCTGGAAACTGCCGGCTGAGCCTTCTCAACCACAGTAGAATAATGCCCAGGCAGAAAAAGCCAGAGCTTAATCTTTTCATCTGCCAAATACCAGGGAGACATTATTGGACAATAAAACAAGACGCACCATCTCAACAAATATGCTGACAGAATTTACCTGGGTTATGGAGACCTTGAGATGGGTCCCAAGGTCCCACAAAAGCATTGGTCCAAGTGCTGAGAAATCCTTCTTTCTGCAACTGTAGATGTGATGAGAGCACAAGCAGTGATGCAGCAGCTTTCTTGTCCCCTTTCACACTACACAAACAAAATTGAGAAGCATGTCACACATGAGTTGCATTATAACTAGAAATGGATTTCTCACTAGAGAATCACTAAATAAAAGAATCATTTAAAGACACAACTGGGGAGCTTATATTTTAAAGAAATTACATATTACCTCTTATCAGGAAGAGAATTGAGTTCAGATTCATTAGGAAGAAACTGAAACCATGATATGTTATGTAAACCACCCTGCAGAGAAATAGATATCAAAACAGATCATACACTATAGGATGAATATCATACATAGTAACATAGCTAATTTTAATATGCATAACATTAAAAGAAGACATAAGTCACATAACAACGGCATAACAAGTAAAAACACTTCATTTCCTTAAGAATCTAAAACACGAAGTGCCAAACTAAAAATTATGTTGCTTCAGCATGACAAGAATAACAAACAGAGGCAACATTTCAATGATGCAGGTCCTGGGAAGCCATTCAAAATACTATAGATATTAATTTATAAGATAAACAAATTCGTCAAAATCAAACATCAAAAATTGATGTTAAGGACCACACCGATATTCTTTGTTTATCAAAGGAGATTACAAGATGCCCCTATTAAATGCAGCAAAAATGGAATGCCAATGAAGCAGCAATGATCCACAAGCAGGAGATGTCATATGAAATGCTTGTGGTGGAGAAATATAGAAAGAAGATACACTCTCTATGTACTTATGTGTTTCAGACCGATATTAGCAAATAGCAATGTAAAAAATCAAGGGAGTATGAATTTGCCAAAATTAAATTTGATGAGAGATCAACAGTGGAACACTGGAACGCTAACCCCCTAAAGATAATGGACAGCCGTTATACATATTATATCTTAAAGCATGGCAATGCAAGATGCCCCACATTCACTATTGATAGTGAAAAATAGAACTATTTGCATGCTTCAAAGAACTTCCAACTGCGATGAAAACATTTTTACCATTTTTAAGATGCAAACTATTATACAAATGGTGCAATTATGAAAATTTACAATTAATTATGAACGTAATAACATTATCATTAAGAGTTTATAGTCTTAGCACATCTATGAATGTGTGTGTGATCGTTTTATATTTGATCCTACTACAAGATAAAACAGATGTCATGAACACTCAAATAAATGACACCTTTTATTTTTGGACTTATTCTTCATTGACATGCGAAATTTGGCAACTATATTTAAAAGGGGGAAGGTGAGAAGATTCTAAAATGTTCATTAAGGCAAGGATCATACGATCTTGAACACATTTGTCCACATCCCTGAACAACTGCCAGATCCCCTTGATGTAGAAATGCATAGACCCTGAGATCTTAGAGTAAAGAGCCTATAACGAAATCTTCTAGCATGTCTTCATAGGCAGCAGATAAAAATATCTTCACATGGTACATGACAAGTGTACAAACAAAACATATTAATTATGTTAGTGAAACATACGTAAAAGGTATGAGTAAATGAATCGAATAGAATAAGTGTAAAATATGAATTGTTTTATGAAACATAGGCAATGAATAACTGGTAATAGAGCAACATACGGCCATGAAGATCGTAAGAATTACCACTATAACAATTCATATGGGAAGATATTTGAGTCAATTCACATAAGCAGCAAAAGTGTACCATTTCACAATCTGTATGAAATGATCATTTGATGCTGCTGAAAGTAGTTGTTAATGTTCAGAGTTCATAGCTTATGTAGTTTCGATATCTTTTTTTAGCACGTTACCTTAATTCTCTTGGTTTTGTAACACAAATGTAATTTAGGATGCTAACTTAGGCATTCTAATACTACTCTTCCTCATAGTTATCACGGCTTAGCCTAGGCGCCCGGGGATGGAGGAGATGCGCCATGCTCAGTCAACTCGACTGAAGCCTCCTATGCGTCCCGCGGAGCATATTAGGCATCGTTCAGTTGCCGTGGCGACGCAATATTCGGATTTTTTGCCGGCTCGCGTACCTGTCTTAGAGCAGAGCAGAACCCTGCGCCCTTCTAGCCTCCAAGCCGTCGCAGATCACGGCCGAGTTCGCGGAAGCAGGTCGTCGCCGCAGCTGGTCCGTCGTCAACCCCGGCTGTTGAAGTTGTAAAGAACTCGATGAAGTCGAGTCAAAAAATTAAGATGGTGAGAATATACCTCATCTATTCCTGAAGTATAAATCAAACAAGAGAAAGTGGAGACAGATAGTTGATTAGTTAGTGCTCCTAGTTTTGTGTTGTTATAGATTTAGGTTGATCGGTGGAATAAAATGAGGTATGTTGTTAGTGGTATTTCCCTAATGGGATAGGAATATCCGTCAAAGTATCTCGTAATCTAATGACATCTCTCTTCTAAATAAGGAGATCCTAAGTGGAGGCTGAGGCGCTATCAATGAGGGAGGCTCTCAGATGGATTAAAGAAGCTAGATGCACTAATATTGATGTGGAATCTGATGCATTACAGCTCGTCATGACTATAAGGGAAGGATCAGACGACTCTTCATTTGAGATGATTGTTAATGATATTAGAGAAAATAAGCTTTTATCCTGGCATAATATTTGTTCATGTGAGGCGAACAACGAATTGGGTAGCCCATGATTTAGCAAAGGCTGCGGGTTTTATGTCTGGTTGCTACGTTTGGCATAATACTCCCCCCGGTAGTATTCTGTCATCTTTGTCAAAAAAGGAGATCGTACGTAGGTTCAGATCTCGTCTCAATCAAGAATGTTGACATTATCGTGAGTAGTTATTACAATGAGTTTAAAAACATATCTCAAAAAAACAATGTCATCTATATCCATGAATCCATACAATCTGATTTGAATGTGTGGATAGAAATTCGAAAATGTATGTATGATAGTTGAATAACATGTGAATGAGATGATGGGTTGGATCAGCTACGATGAGCGTACGTTCAACTCATCATCCGAACCATTACTCGTTTCTCTTTCCACACATGTGTCTATAAAAATAATACTTCGTACAACGTAATATAAAAAGAAAATTTGGTTCAAATGAGGACATGGTGAATAAAGAGAAATGACAATGACTTGGGAACAGTAGATTTCAGAATTGTGAGATACAGAAATGTACACCATCGTAAATAAAAAAATGGTAGCATTTTTTGTAAATAATTCATTTTTCCACACACTTGAACTATGCATTACTTTAATAAAAAAACGTGCACCTTCATGAACCTGCATTGTTTTATCTTTGAGTGAAACTTTCTAATAACATACTCCATTTAGAATTGAAAGTAATAAATATGATTCAACCAAATGTCTCACTTAATATAAAAATATAGATCTTATTAGATCGTGATTTCATTTTAATTATGAAAAATTCAAAATAAAGTCATACTCCATTTAGATATTTTCATTTGAGATCTACATGCAAGCATTTCTCAATATGTTCATTTTTAATTAACTTACATCTTTTCAAATGTGTTAACACGGAAGTAGAAATTTCTGTTGCGACTTTGCTTTTAGTTAGATAAAATTAATTGCAGTATACATAAATGGCATTAGTTTCTATTTGTTTTCAATTAACAGATTATTATTGTTATTATGGTTCTCGATATTTAACTTATTGATGGCTTTGATCTTTGAAATGTCATTACTTTATGGGATTTTTCCTAAAATATTGCTCTATACAAATAAAACTTGTAGACAATTAACTAAAGCACCTCTCTCAACTTTAATTGTTTGTCTATCTCAAGGGAACTTTACGGTGTTATGGTTCTAGTAGCGTCATAGCGAACACATCGATATGTATGCATCTAGGCTTCAACTTATCCTCTCATTATCAATTTTGATGGTCATGAAGTCGGCGATCGCACTAGCCAACCGGATTATGACCATCTAGCTAGTTAGACACTTAATATTTGGTTATAAGAGCTTAAGAATTTCAGATAATGGCAATGCAGGAAAGCTATTTGAGGATGTAGAAGTCAACACCTCTAGTGGGAGTGCTTTCTGCTTTTGCAAGTTATGTTCCATCTAGAGAGTTCAATGTGTTGAATTGATGTAATTGTAGTCTGCTTGTTTTTTCATCAAATTTATACATTAGTTGAATAGTTGGTTAAAATGGTACTTGATTTACCATGAATTGGTAATTCATGCACTATGATGTTATTCTTGTTTCTTACTAGTGTTGCATTTTGGTTTTGCAATCCCAATCATGTTCTCCATGTATTGCTTTCCAATACTCCCTCCGTTTCACAATCTTTGACACAGTTTGACTTGTCAAGAATTAAGGAAAAAATGTCACTGAGGGGTAAATTTTACTGTAGAGTACACTGTTTGGCATTGTTTGAACACCGTTTGGCACTGTTTGACACTGTTTTGTACTATTTTGGTAAAGATTTATTTACCAAATAAGAAAATAAGGAAGTGTGTCATTGATTGTGAAACAGTCAAAAAAGGAAAGTGTGTCAAAGATTATGAAACGGAGAGAGTATTACTTTCAACCTATCAAATAGTGTTCACATTATAAAATAGTTCTAGAGTTTCAATTCTTTAAATGTCATTGTCGTTAACGTTGAACTAACACCATCGATTTCTGTAATTTTGTCCCTGTAAGGAATTGTAACTTATGACACATTTAAAAAAGTACTTCTTCAAAATTTTCAAAGTGTTAGGCTACAAACAAAAATATGAGTTGAACAAAAGATGTTTTAAAAACAATAAATTTATGTCCCTCCCAAAAGTATTTAAATATTTAATACTGTCAGAAATTGTATGATTTTTTGTACATGGTTCAAAATCTTTTGCACGAACAATTTTGTCATTAAAAGTTGGGCAAAAGATGGAAAATGTCTAGAGAAAAATGGGTTTTTTCAAACTAATATTTTTTCTATGCCTAACTTTACAAACAAATATTTTCTTTGGGAAGGATTTTAAAAATGCATGCCAAAGATATACAATTTTTACCTTGTCTCAATTATTTTTTGACTATACTAGACATTTATTATCAATACAATTAAATTTTTTATAAATATTTTTTGTGACCGAACTTTACACAAAGAATTGTGAGAAGAATTAATTTTGAAAATGCATACAAACATTATTTGGCCTTATTGAAACTTTTTTACCAACATTCTTCCTTTATAACTCGACTTTACATAAAAATATGTCACTACAAAGCATTTTGAAAATGTTCCAAAAAAGTATACATTTTGTGACATTTTTTGGGCGCAAAAACATTTATTGTCTATAAAATTAAACCTTTTCAACTAACTAATGTAGTCTTCAAAAGAGATCTTCAATAATTAGTAATGAGCGTGTTTATTAAGATTTTAATTATTATTATTACTATCCTCCGTATCTCATTAATTGCAACATTGGAATATATACACTATTCATGTACTTTCTTTTGACTACATTTTATTTATTAATGTATGTGAATTATTATTTTTGAAAAATGTTGTTAAATTCATCTCATTACTAAGTTTTATAATCTGAATTTTATTTTATTTTTACTAATACAGAATTAATATAATGATGGTCAAAGTTGTGCGTTGGCAAACGTAAAATGTTGACGGTTGCAACTAAAAAGAGACGGAGCCACGGAGGAAGTATTATTTATCAATTTAGTGATTTGATTGTTGATTATACTTTAGTCGTACATACATGTTATAGTATCTACAAATCAATCCTGTGAAACAACTAGATACTAGATAAAATGATTTTTTAAATGTTCGGTGTCACAATTAGTATGAGCTAGGTCTTTGTGAGTACAAAATTTGTAATAGTTATGTGTTCGCAAAGGTGGAGTACAGCAATATCATAGCCCAAAGAAGCAACGAGAAAACAGACAGATGCTATGCATTTTCCATAAGATAATGAAAATAACTGAAAGCTTTTTGTAGATAAATAGGAATCACCGAGGGACGAATTATTCCAGACCTAATTGAGTTTGCTTAATCCTGTTATGTAACAATGATACAATAAAGTCCTAAATAGGAAGCAAACAAATGTTTGCAACTGGTAAACGGCTCTTCAAATACATAATCTGCAGTCAGCTACCAATTGGGACGGTAATAAGTTAGATAACGCCTGTGTATATCTTTGCAGTGTATGCAAGTCCATGGTTGCAATGGTGGATCTAGACAATATTCATGTATACATCGAACCTGGCAAACGTGACAGTAGATAAGAAGTTCCTCTGGTTCTCGCTCAAGGCATTGACAACAGGTTGGAGGCATTATTGTTGCCTGCATTTAACCGCCAAAGGACAAAACCAAACTGAGCTTGGAAACGGGTCTAAAAATAATACAACTGGAACCAAATTTGAATATTTTGTCTGGATGGATAAGCCCTGAAATCTTGACGATCTTCATGTGACCGGGCACTAGAGGGCACGGAAAGTATAAGTTCATACGGTTGTCTTACTTGTCTACTGAATTTGAGGAAAATCCCCTCTTAAGGTTCTTTTTGGGGTGGCTTATACCAAATTTAAGATGGCGGTTTGCGGAGAAACCATTCACTCATTGGTACGGGACGATCCAATTGGGGGTCTTTCTGAACCCACTTTGCAACCCCCACCACAGTACCACACCCACGCTAACTGAGGTAAACCACCCACAGCCCACTTGAGGATCTTTTGGAGTGAGCAAGACCCATGTTTACAGTTTATGTATCCGTAATTAAATCATAGGACTCAGGCAAGACATGCACGTAATGCATCCTCTAAATGGGAAATGTGCAAAAAACAAACAAGCCAAATCACATTCAAGATCCGCATGTGCTCCTATGAATATTAAGTACAGCATGTAACTGTAACTGAGTGGGACATCACAATTAACTAAAGGGACGGGATGAGACTTACATTAGCTGGAAAATGAGATGTTTCTCCACCAGGAAGAATATAAATATCTGTTCCTGGACGATCGTGAGGAATAGTTTGAGAATATATTTTCTGATCAGAATATACAGCAGCATCAACCTTGGTAATACTAGCAAAGCCAACCTTGCACAGAGGACATGTTGAAGTTTTTCCTCGTGATACCTGTGAAAATATCAGAATGAATGAAAAAATTGTTGCGAGCAATCATTTTCACTGTAAAGATAGGAAGAGTGAATCATGTATAGCCCAAGAAAAGGGGGGGGGGATGACTTTGATAGGCGATTTGAGATTTAGAAATGCTGAAAACTAACCTATATGTGATTGCATAACATATCATTAATTTTTAAAAACATTATATTCATAATGATCTAGACTAGGCTTTTCCAATCGCCTCCAAAATTGTTCGTTTGGATGGCTGTTTGGAGGGCTTAGTATATCTTGATATATACTTGAGTTGTTTTCTAAAATCTGAAAGCAACATAATACATAATGGTGTAAACTTTATCATCTTTTATTTGTTTGGAGAAATGTTTAATTTAAAGGGATGAGTAATGTATCAGACAAAATCTAGGCTGTAAAGAACACAGAAAGGCTATTTATACCATTTGATCTGCCCAGCTCTGGATGCACGGGAAACAAAACCGGTGGCCACAAGGCAGCAAACCTCGAGTTGAGCTAAAATCTGTCCAGCATATCACACAGGAAAGCTCAGGTGATGTGGGCAATCTTATAGAACTTTCCTCTTTCGTGTCTACACCAACAACCTGCATCTGCTTTGGTGGTGACTTAAATGAGGATAAAGAACTTTCGCCATTGATCATATTCCCAATTTTTTCAGGTTTGCCATTGATCATATTAGTAGTTTGACTAGTTTCACAATCATTAAATATGTCTTCATGCCTCTCAGGATTTACATTGTAAGATTGCATAATACTCTCATCTCCTGGCAAAGGCTGCATTGGTGGGCTTAATTGTTCTGAATCTGAAATTTCCAGCACATCAGTAAAGTTCTTTTTCACCAGTCTACGACGTTTATGAGAAGTTTCAGGCAAGTCTCTTCCTCTCTTCTTTGTTCTAAGAAATTCTTCAGTCTAGAGAACAAGGTTTAGATAATAATTAGAATAAGGCTTATCTAATAATTTGAATGTCCCCATATTTTAAAAAAACATAGTTGACCAAGTCACAATTTCACAAATAGAATAGAACTACTGTATATAGACTGTAGATGAGAGGATTTTGTTTTAGGTTCATCAGACAAACTAATCAAATTTCATACTTCTATCCTCTGTGAGCCTGATATAGAAGAATCATCAAGATGATGTCTGCTGCTTAACTTATTGTCACATTTAAGGCTTCTGCTATTATTTTTCTTCCCCGATCTATGCCTGTGTATTCCAAGATTTGGAACATATTCCTACAAAAAGTTAACGCACACACAAAAAGAAATAAGGATATTACTTCATTTGAGCAATTTAGAACAGATCAATGTATTTGGTGTTAAGATAAATTAGCCCCACCATGCAGCTTGCCTACTGACTACCTATGCCACTGTGGAGTTCACTTCTCGTTCCAGGAGGAAAAAGGATACAAAAATACAGTATGCATAAAGTGTGAACTGCTTTATATTCTCCACTAGGAGTTGACAAACAAAGAGTTAATTATTGAGACCACTGAGCGTAGCTAAAAGTTTAGTGTGTGTGTGTGTCTATATATATGACCGACAGCACAGGGCTCGAAGTGTAAAAATGTTTCATGCTTAAGCGGCGAAACTAGTTTAGTTTTTCATTAGCATTTACCATTCGAAGTACGCTTACAAAATAATGCATATGCGAAGATAATTAGTATGGTGAAACAAATTCAGGTGTTTGTTTTTTCAAAGGTGGAGTTGGTCAACACAAAATGAACACTCACCTCAAACGCATTGTCAGTCCATGAGTCATTAGAATTGTACTCACTGGATATATTACTTTCACTGACAGGTGTAGTGTTCATCAGCACTGGACCAACTTCTTCTCCGCTGGAAAACAATTGAAATTATAGATTGATTTTTTACAACTCAGTTTTGAAACAGCAATTAGCATTTCAACAACAGTGCTAGGTTGCTAACTGCTAACACATACTGGAATATACAGAATTCAGGCAATGGAAAACCCGCTTTTTGTGATCTAGAATTCAAGTATTCAACCATTGAAGATAAGGTGTTTTACCATTGTAATGTATAGGGATGCTCTTGGATACGTTTTCCTTTCTTAAGACAGTCTTCGATCCACCTGTGGTTAACAATGGATGTTTTTCTTGACTTCCTGGCAAGTTCATATTTCCTTCCTTCAAATCTCCAACATACCTATCACATCCATTATAACTAATCAAACTATATTTACTATCATGTAAAAATATTGTTGCGCATGTGGACTATAGTATAGGCTGCTTCTAGTGTGAATATTATATACAATAAAATTCAACGCTTCTATTTTTCTCTGCATTGTTGTTGACTATTGTGCATCAACTCTTTAAAGTGTCATTAGTTCATTATCTCACCAGAAGAAAGGTGATTATTTTAGTTATTGATGCAGATTCTTTTTGTTCAAGAATCAAGATATATTGATAAATTCACAGATTGTGAAAATGAATTGTACACACATACATACATCAATAGCAGATTCACAATTCAACAGGGAAACTATCAATTTCGTAAATCAAAGACAAACCAAGTGAGTTACGGAATCATTCATCGTTCCAACATAGTTTCCACCGGCCTTGGCAATCAATTTGATGAGGTTGAATCGCTGGGACCCCTGGTATCCACTGACTGTAGCTACCACTTTCTCCATATCTTGAATAATTTGTTGTAATGCTATAAGATCAAATATCTCTTGGAATCAGCTGAGAATACCTAGGCAAATGGCAAATAGGGAGGGGAATAAAGCCATATGAATTATAAGCAGGAAAACGGGCTGAACTGAAACCCTAGGTCAAAATAGAATGCTCACACATTGTCTATTCAACCCAAAAAGGGTGGAATCGCCCACTTCAGACACCACCCCCACACCCCAACCCGACAGAATGATCGAGGGGTAAATCATGGTACGATCTAAAACAGTTTCTGAATGAGGTGGTTCAAGGCCTGTTGCGCACAAGGAGCCATCACATTGGATGAAACTCCCACACTGTCGGTGCCAGAAATTGAACCTGAGACCTCAGGCCTCACTCAGCCACCGTTGAGCTACATGTGCAGGTATTTCGAGCGGTTGAAGGGGCAGGAGGATCCCCCCCCCCAGAAAATCAGGATTTCAGACCACAAGTCTTCTACCCGTGTGTTGCATGGATAAACAAAATTATAAAAATACAATCTAAACTGTAACTTGTAAGGCAGCAATTAAACAATTGTATAATTAGAACAACTATACTACCCTAGAATATGTTAGTTAGTTATCTTTGACTTTTCAAGTTGAAGACTGGCAAACTTAGGTCAAATGTTTTAACTAATTAGAGGAAAAACTGCATTATTTTTCCTTCTTGTCGTTTGACTCTTTAAATCCAATAAGTGAGAAACAAATCACACAAAAAAGAAGGATTTTTTCTCAAAACCATGTCCCCTCACTTTATTCTCAAAATAATGCATAAGTGTTATCAAATATAGTTTGTATACGCACCTTGTATGGCATGTGCAAGATCTAAAACCAATTAGAGAAAATTGACATGGCTAAGACAAAAATATAGGCTTTTTTCCAAAATAGGACTCAATGTTTGGTTTTCCCTAAATAGGACTAACCATTCCATTTTTACCCCCAATCGAATTAATTAATTAATTAACCCAATTAATTGTCCCCTAGTTCTCTTGCACAACCAAGGCAGTCTGTTGGTAGTGGGGGCAGTCCGGTTGTGGCGGCAGAGGATTCCGGCGGCAGCGGATTAATTAATTGACCTAAATAATTACCCCCTAGTTTCCTTGCACAACCAAGGCAGTCCGTCGGTGGCGGGGCAGTCCGTGGTGGCAGCAGCACCGTGGCAGCGGACGGCGGCGGATTCTGGTGGCAGCAGCGGATGGCGGCAGAAATGCTGGCAAACCGCCAGGGAAAAAATCTGGAAGTTTTCCAGCGGCCGGCGGCGGTCTGGCAGTGGCAGCAGGCAGTAGGGGAAGCAGGAGGCAGTCCAGGGGCAGCAGTGGGGGTATTTTGGTCCAATCACGCATAAAAATCCTATTTAAGGATGTTTAAACTAATTGGTCCTATTTTGAGAAAAAAGTCATGTTTTGCTCCTATTAAGGTAAATCTCCCAACCAATTGTTGACATTTCCATTTGGCACCTTCATACTATTATTCATTTTTTCTATTAATTCTTTCCCTTTAGTATTGCTTTATTTATTATAAGTCTTATTATCAATGATGTTAATAGCACCTATAGCAGCATAGTGAATCAGAACGACACCTAGCCGTTATAGCGGTCACTATAGCTATACGAACTATAGTCTATAGTAGTGGGACAAATAAATGAAATAATAGGCAATTAGGCATTACAGTGATACAACACTAATTCCTTTCTCTCTGATGAATTATGTTATGGTTACTTTTTTCGAAGTAATTTTGGCACTTTCACTCCCTTTGGAACCCAAATATTCCATATAAAACCCTCTCTATTTCAGTGCCAAGTCTCAATTCTTTTCTAGCAATAAGCATCCCAATCTTCGACGGCCCACCTCCCTCACTTTGTGACCTCAGGTACCCATATGTTTAAGCCTCCAATGGAATATAATAATTACATACTCCCCCCGTCCCTTAAAGGTTTGCTAAGTTTGACTGGCACGTAGAATAATAAAGTAAAAACTGTGTGGTAGATATTTGTGCAAAGGAGAGAGAAATAACAGAAGCCACATATTGATTGATTAAAAGAGAAAGTGGCAAAGTTTTTGGGACAACCAAAAAAGGAAAGTTGTCAAAGTTATAAGGGATGGAGGGAGTATAACGATTGAACCAAACAATATTGTATTGAAGTAAACAGAACCACACAATTCATCAAAATCATTAAGTACACCCCATTTTTTGGAAATCAAACGCATGACATTTGTGTTGAATCCAATATAAGAGAGTATCAACAAAAAACAATGAAAGTCTTAATAGAGGCTCATACACACCAAATAACTTTTTTTGTGTGTTTTAATGAAAAGAATTCATACAAAGCATATGCAGACATGCTATATGTTGCATTAGAGATAATTACTGTAAATTGAATTTGTCAGACACCTACTGTCAAGCCTTGATCCTCACCCACCTCACAAGAAGTGTGTGAAGTTAAGAGAGACTGTTTTTACTATAACTTTGTTTTCACATTTATCCTCATCAAGTCATGGCTGAACCACTTCATGTCCAAATCAAATCAGTATTTTCAGTGATGATTTATAGGATAGTTATATCAAAAAAACTAATATATAAAGTGTACAAAAATAAAATAAGAAGTTACTCAGTAACCAGAGTTTGCATATCGTAGCCATAAACTAAACATTCAATAACCAAATTTGTCACTCAAAGCCGACCAATGCTGCTAAGTGCTAACCCGTGGTTGGTATTAAGAAAGCATCTGACTTCACCAGCATTAAATAAATCAGATACAAACACTAAGAGCCCGTTTGGTAACTTGTTTTTCGGCTTATGAACCAACTTTAACATCAAATGCGTATCTTTTGATTTCGCACGTTGAATAGTGTAATAATCAAAATAAGTAATTGTAGAGGACCATTTTAGCTATTTTTGCATTTTTTTTATTTTATTAATAAAAATCATTTTAAATATAACTATTTCATAAATCAGCAGAATAAGTCAATGCAGCCGCTTCAGCCAGAATTTCATAAATTTCAGCATAATCAGCCGATTTCAATGTTACCAAACAGGCCCTAAATAGCCTACAGAGGCTCATATTTACATGACAATTAGACAGACAATTTTGTTTAGCCTTACTTTATAGGCTAATATTTGTCTAAAGTACAAATTCCAAAACATAAACGTGTAAAAAAAAATCAAAAACATCCAAAGAAAAAAATTCTAATATACCAATACAGGTTAGGGCGTTAGGCAGATGTATTCCATTTATCCATTAGAAGGTAGATATACATGCATAGATTTCAAAAAAGATCATTGGAAATAATGATAACTATTTTTTAATGGTTTGCAGAACCCAAGTTGAAAAAATAGAAGTCCACTTCTTGAGAAATCCAAAAACGGAAATAATGAGAAGTATACCTCATTGTTCATTTGTTCATGAACACCAATTCAAACAATTGGGAGGGATTTTTTGTGATGACAAGTCACTTCTGTGTGCTCTTAACAACAGTACAACATCCAACTGCAAACCAACAAAAAAATAAGCGGGAAATTACAAACATTAACATTAAATTAAAGTTAATGTTAGAGATTATACTTACCGAACCTGAGGATAAGCGTCATGACTATTAAGTAGCCCCTTCTAGTCAGATTAGCCACGGAGTTAAGGGCGGGATAGGTGTTTTTCGTGCCAGAACTCAGATGAAGGGGAAAGGAGAAGAAGAAGCATCGAAGGAATTTTCTCAATCGAGGAAGTCGGATGGAGAAGTCAGAAGTCTGGCAAAAGATAGAAGTTTTAGTTAAATGTGTAACCAGTAAAGTAAACTAGACTTAATCAATAAAATGCTTAAAAAAAATTATTAAAAAATTTCATCGGGAATCGCCCCGAATGGCGACGATCGGACAGAGTATTCTATATAAGGACTTATTTGACCTTTTTTATACAACTTCGATGATCAATCTGATACTTACCTCGAACAAATTCAAACAAGAATTAGACATGAAAAAATATCTAGAGGATGGAATGACACTCTAGTTTCGGCCAATACAACTACAAAAACCACTGTAACCTTATAAATAGTAAAAAATGGCTAATAAATCTGATAAATTGAGAAAAATGGGTTACCAAACGAACTCTATAATGTGCCTACTCTATAATTTAGTAATATACTACCTACGTCCCATAATTTACTTCCGTAGTAAAAATGGCACACGGATTAAGAAAGTGGATTTTGTGTGGTGGAGAGTCGTGCAGAGGAGAGAGAAATGTGTAAGAATTGTTGTGAACCACAAATTCTTTTCCAAAAAGGGAAAGGGAAGTTCTTTTTGGGACGGACGAAAAGGAAAAGTTGGAAGTATTTTCAGGGACGGAGGGAGTACATTATTTTTTTTCATTTTTGGTCTTTCAATTTTTGTGTTAATAAAATTTGATACTAGTTTATAAAAATTTCCATATTTAATCCACTTTTATAGAAGTGGTACTTTAATTTTGATCTTTCAACTATTATTATCATATTGATGTTTTTTATTGTTCATTTATTAGTTATTATGACAAAATCATTGTAAAAGACCTAAAAGTGTTGATTTCACACTATTCAAGGGACCGAATGTGAAAAAGATTAAAGTCGGTGACTAAAAGTGTGTTTTCACAATATTCAAAGACTAAAAATAGAAAAAATCAAAGTCGGGTATCAATAATAATAATATAGTTAGAGGATTAAAATGACAAAAACTCGTTCTTGAAATCTATATATTATACATTTAAGAGCCATATTAATGGAAGATTTTGCAACATGTCATTTCTTTAAACATTTGTTACATGTCACTCTTACAAAACTCATTCGCCCTCATGCTCCATCAATTTTACTTCTGCTCCACATAAATGGTACGGAGTATAACATCAATTATTGTATATTATTAGTTCGTAGTAAAAAGACTTACCATGTAGATAAAAATTAGTGTCTATAAATATTCAAAAAATCAAAAATATTCAACCGTCTGTGATCTATGTTACTTTAGACTCCATTTAATATATATCTATATCTATATATTATAGATTTAAGAGTCATATTGGTGGAAGATTTTGACACATGTCATTCCTTTAAGCATTTGTCACATGTCACTCTTACAACACTCATTTACTCTCATGTTCCATCAATTTTACTTCTACTCCACATAAATGGTACAAAGTATAATATGAATTATTATATATTATCAGTTGGTAGTAAAAAGTCTTATCATGTAGATATAAATTGGTTTTTATTAATATTTAAGAAATCACAAACATTCAATCGTCTGTGATCCATGTTACTTTAGACTCCATGTTATTGGTAGTAAAATAAAGTAACATACATCTATATCTATATATTGTACATTTAAGAGTCATATTGGTGGAAGATTTTGTCACATGTCATTCCATTGAGTAAGTCTGTCAACGCGCGGGGTACGGGCCGAAATGTAGTGTTCCAGACCTGGACCCGCTTGCTAGCCTCTATATTGTTCTAGACCCGTCCCATATACCCGGTGAGTCTAGAACTAATGTTTCGGACCCGTACCCATTGGGTATCGGAACCGGGTAAGGTAGATGTAATACCCAAGATTAATTTAAGAGGATTAATAGTACTACTCATACCAACAAGGTGCATCTCCTTTTAGGGGAGCTCATTAGCCAAGAACTCCAAAGTTAATTGTGCTTGCACGGGAGTAGTCTTGGGATGGGTGACCCCCTGGGAAGTTTCTCAGGGCGCGCACGAGTGAGGACAAAGTGCGCGGAAAAGGCTAGTGGCGGTTTGTGAGGACAGTACTAGAGGTCAGAAGTAACTACCTCGGGGCCTGTGGGGCCGGGGTGTTACAAATGGTATCAGAGCAACCCTGCGACAGTGTGTTGACCCGTTAGATATCGGGCGGGCACTTAGCGGGGCAAGATTCTGGGGTTTGATTGAGATTGGTTTAAGGGCGCAACGAGGACGTTGCGATCCTAAGTGAGGGTGATTGTAATACCCGAGATTAATTTAAGAGGATTAATAGTACTACTCATACCAACAAGGTGCATCTCCTTTTAGGGGAGCTCATTAGCCAAGAACTCCAAAGTTAAGTGTGCTTGCACGGGAGTAGTCTTGGGATGGGTGACCCCCTGGGAAGTTTCTCAGGGCGCGCACGAGTGGGGACAAAGTGCGCGGAAAAGGCTAGTGGCGGTTTGTGAGAACAGTACTAGAGGTCAGAAGTAACTACCTCGGGGCCTGTGGGGCCGGGGTGTTACAGTAGACCTGACCCGTCTCACAAGAATCTAACTCCAAATTCTTAAATAAAAAAACATGACTTCTTAGTTCGACAAGCCAAATCAGCTCAAAATAGACTGAAATATTTTTAGTTCAGTCAATTATTTTGAGATTAGTCATGTTTGGCAAAAGAGCTTAAGTGGACTGGATCTGAAATATTAGGGCTGAATTGGAACGCTTCTCGTCCTAGCGTTTATGTTCAGACTATTGAATAATACACTCCCGTCCCCAAATGATCCCTCTGGCCCCCCCTCCTTCCGTTTGTTTCTCAATTGATCATCTCTCTCACTGATTTATCTTCATGACCAACGCACTCCTCCTCCCTCGTTAACAAATACAGAGTACATATCTTAAAGAAGTCAAGATCAGAGTGGATCTCAGCGGCACAAGAGGAGCTGGCAGTTGCTACTTCCAGACTACAAAATTCCAGTGATCTCAAGCTACGGTGCAGAATAAAACAATGAGCTTTTGTTAACTTTAACTAAGGAAATAAAGGAATTGATGCAAGGTCTCACACTATATTTTAAACTGAAGTGTACGAAGGCATTTAAATAGCCTTTTACAAAGAATTAAACTAAGCATGATCTCCGCTAACAATGTGGCTGGAAACGTGGCTTAAGAAAAGGAATATGCAAGACTCAACAAATGAGATAACAACCATAACAATATGCATGCACTACGTCCTATAATTAAGGAACCTAATTTAGACTTATTCAAATATTACGCTAGAGCTAAACTCCCACATGCATGGGCATGCATGGGTAATTAAGGAACTTCAAGCTTGATCACATTCAACACCTCCCCTTGATCCAAGCTTGCTCATACCTATCTTCTCCATGAAATATTGATGTTTTTCTTGATTTAGAGCTTTAGTAAATAGGTCTTCATTTTGAAGATTGGTTCCACAAAATTTCAAACTAATTTTCTCCTCAGCTACCAACTGCCTGATGTAATGATGTTGGACTTCTATATGCTTTGTTCTTGCATGGAATGCAGGGTTCTTAGTCATTGCTATTGCAGATTTGTTATCACACCAAACCTCAATTGCACCAACCTGTTCACAACCCAAATCTTTAAGTAGTTTTCTCAACCACATAGCCTGTCTTGCTGCAGCACCTGCAGCCACACATTCAGCCTCAGATGATGAAAGAGCTACAGTTTCTTGCTTCTTGGAACTCCAAGTGATTGCTCCAGACCCAAGACTGAACACAGAAACTGATGTGCTTTTTCTATCATCTAAGCAACCTGCCCAATCACTGTTAGTATGACCTGTCAACCTGAAAGATTTCACACTCTCATAGAGTATTATAGCCTCAGTTGATCCTCCAACATACTTTAGTATTCTTCTTACTGCACCCATGTGTTGCTTAGTTGGAGAATGCATATATCTTGAAACTACACTCACAATGTAGGCTAGGTCAGACCTAGTGTGTGTGAGATAGTTCAGACCCCCAACTAGACTTCTATAACTCTTCTCATCTGCTTTCTCAATTCCATCTTCTCTCTGAAGTTTTTCATTTTTATTCATGGGAGTTTTCATTGCCTCAAACTTCTTCACATGGAATTTCTTAAGCAAATCTTCTGCATACTTCTTTTGACATAAGAAAATTCCATCATCTCTCTGCTTTACCTCCAACCCAAGAAAGTATTGTAACATTCCAAGGTCTGTCATTTCAAACTGATTCATCATAGCAGCTTTAAACTCATTAAGCATTTGCTGAGAAGAGCTAAAGTAGATAATAGCATCTACACAAAGGCAGACAATAATAAACTCATGCACTTCTTTCTTTTCACATAAAGAGTTGGTTCATTCTCACTTCTTTCAAAGTTATTTTGAAGAAAGAATGAAGCTTTCTTAAGATTGTACACCTTGTCTTCCTCACCCTGCTTTATGAATCCAAGAGGTTTCTCTACAAAAACCTCTTCCTTCAAATGCCCATTTAGGAAAGCAGATTTTACATCAAGTTGAAATACCTATAAATTCCATTGGGCTTCTAAATCTAGGACTACTCTAACAGTTTCCGTTCTTGCTACAGGTGAGAAAGTTTCCTCAAAGTCTATGCCTTCCTCCTGTGCATAGCCTTTTGCTACTAACCTGGCCTTGTGTTTTTGAATACTCCCATCTGTGTTAAACTTGATTCTGAACACCCATTTCAAGCCAATTATATTCTTTCCTTCAGGTAGATCTACTAACTCCCATGTTGAGTTCTTTTCAATTGATCTGATCTTTTCATTCATGGCAATTTGTCATTCTTTACTTGATTTGGCTTCATCAAAGTGTGTTGGATCAGTTGTCATCAAAGCAAAGTCACAGTTTTCATATAGGTCAGCTAAAGACCTATATCTTCTTAAGACCGAGTCTTCATCTGATGAGCTTGGTGATGTGGTTAATGAGGTTGTTGAACTCTGATTTGATGATGATGATGTTGAGGGAGGACTTGAAGGAGGACTTGGAGTGGGACCATCATCTGACACCTCCTCAGAACCATCAAACTCTACTGAGTTGTGCTGACCCTCACTTATCACAGTCTTTGCTATCCGATCCCAACCTGAATTCTCATCAAACACCACATTTCTACTAACAATAACTTTGCCAGTAAGAGGATTAAACAACCTATAAGCCTTAGATTGAGGTGCATAGCCAACTAGAATACACTTAACTGATTTATCATCTAGTTTGGACCTCAAGTCTATTAAAGCATAAGCTATGCATCCAAAGATTCTTAAGTGACTTACAGATGGTTTCTTTCCACACCAGGCCTCAAATGGAGTCATGTTCATAACTGCTTTGGTAGGTGAGACATTCAGAATGTATATTGCTGTGGCTACAGCTTCACACCAAAATTCATTTGGAACACCTCTGGCTTTGAGCATGCTTCTTGCCATTTCCACCACTGTCATGTTCTTTCTCTCTGCCACTCCATTTTGTTCAGGAGTGTAGGGTGCGGTTAACTCTCCTTATTCCTTGCTCATCACAGAACTTGAGAAATTCATTTGACATGAATTCACCACCTCTATAAGTTCTCAAGGCTTTTACATATAGTCCAGACTGTTTTTCAACCATTGCTTTAAAATTCTTAAAGTGATCAAATGCTTTTGATTTGGCTTTAAGAAAGTACACCCAACTCATTCTACTAAAATCATCAGTGATAAGCAAGAAATACTTACTTCCTCCACGAGAAACAGTCTGCATTGGGCCACAGATATCTGCATGAAGGAGCTCAAGGCATTGACTAGCTCTCCATGCTTTGCCTGTTGGAAATGACCCACTTGATTGCTTTCCATATAGACAGCCTTCACACAGCTCAAGCTCACCAAGCCTTGGTAAGCCTTGCACCATTTCCTTGAAATGCAAAAGTTTCAGCCCTTGCATATTCAAATGCCCATATCTCAGGTGCCATAGTTTAGCATTATCATCTCCTTTTACTACCAAGGATTTGCCCACTTGCCTTGCCAGATCAAGAGGGAACATTTTGTTCTTTCCCATCTCAATCTTGGATATGATCTCCTTAGATTTCCTATCACTAATTGTGCGGGTCTTATCTTCCAATACTAAGGAGTAACCAAATTTACTAACTGACCAACACTAAACAGATTATGAGCCAGCTTAGGTACAAACTGTACATCATATAGAAGCTTGGTGTTGCCTTGCTCAGCAGTGATTACAATTGTGCCTCTTCTTTCCATATCAAGTTGCTTCCTATCTCCAAGTCTTACTGTGCCTTTCATAGTATCATCCAATTCTCTGAACAAAGATTTGGCACTTGACATGTGATTTGAGCAACCACTGTCAACATACCATACCCCATTCTCACCAGTTTGACTTGAAGCATTTTGGGCTAGAAAAAGCTTCTCTTCATGCTCAACAAAGTTTGATTTGGAATCTCCTTTGTTCTCATCTTCTTCTTTTTTCCAGCAGTTTGCCTCCTTATGTCTAGGTTTCTTGCAGTAATAACATTTGAGAGGGTTCTTATGAGTTTGAGAAGTTTGATCTCTTCCCTCACTCTGTTGACCTCTCCCACGACCTCTGCCCCTGGAACCATCTCTCCCTCTGCCTCTACCTGCATTTGGTTGAGATCTGTGATGATTTGAGGATTCACCTTTTACTTGAAATGCCTTTTCATCTTTCTGATCATCTTCTTTGCTTAACCTTTCTCCATGAGCTTGAAGATAGGATTGTAAACGAATCGAATAATTTTGATCCGATTCGCGATTCGAATTCGAAATTGATGATTCGAATTCGAAATATTCGAATACGAATTCGAATACGAATCAATTTTATTATTCGAATAAAATTCGAATACGAATACGAATATACATATATTCGATTCGTAAGTTATTCGAATATATTCGATTTGTATACTTACGAATTATAAATATATATTCTATTATATTTATAATTTTGAAATAATTCATATAATAGACATTTGTGAAAATCGAAAAATGCCTAAAATGAGTCATAATTTGAATAGGTGAATTTTTTTTGAAACTTCAAATATTTGAATTGGAATTCGAATATTCGAATTCGAATTCGAATATTCGAATTCGAATTCGAATATTCGAATACGAATATACTCAAATACAATAAACGAATCGAATACGAATCGATTGTAAGATTCGAATAATATTCGAATATGAATACGAATATTCGTCAATTTATACGAATACGAATAATATTACTCACTATTCGATTCGATTCGATTCGTTTACAACCCTACTTGAAGAGAGCCTTTGAGCTCCTCAAATGTGTAGGTTTCAAGGTCTTTTGATTCCTTAATCGCTGCAACCACATGCTCATATTTCTTTGTAAGACTTCTGAGAATTTTTTCCACAATTTGGCTAGATTTGAGCTGCTCACCAAGAGTACTCATCTCCTGAACCAACCCAGTCACCCTTGAGATATAATCTGGGACTGATTCTTTTTGCTTCATCAGTAAGTTCTCAAATTCTCTACTCAAGGACTGCAAACGAATGGTGATAACCTTTTTATCTCCCACATACTCTTGATTAATTAAGTATTTTCCATGCTTCTTTTGCTGTAGAAGCTGCTGCAATGCGTGGAAACACAACATCATCCAAGGATTGTTGGATGATATACAAGGCCTTTGCATCCTTCTTCCTTTTCTCCCTTAAGTTCTGGTCCGGTTCTTCAGTGCCATCATCTTCAAAGCCATTCTCTACACAGCTCCAAAGTTCTTGTGATTTGAAAAGAGTTTTCATTTTTAGACTCCAAAAATGAAAATTCACTCCTTTGAAGGTAGGCAATTGATTGAGAGAACTTCCACTCTCATTGTTGTTCTGCATGGTGATAGTTCCCTCCAAGAATAGTGTTTCACTCCCTCGTAAACACTCAACACGGCCCCAAGGAAGGATTCCTTACCTCTGATACCAAATGTTAACTTTAACTAAGGAAAGAAAGGAATTGATGCAAAGTCTCACACTATATTTTAAACTTAAGTGTACGAAGGCATTTAAATAGCTTTTTACAAAGAATTAAACTAAGCATGATCTCCACTAACAATATGGTCGGAGACGTGGTTTAAGAAAAGGAATATGCAAGACTTAGCAAATGAGATAACAACCATAACAATATGCCTGCACTACGTTCTATAATTAAGGAACCTAATTTAGACTTATTCAAATATTAAGCTACAACTAAACTCGCACGTGCATGGGCATGCATGGGTAATCAAGGAACTTCAAGCTTGATCACATTCAACAGCTTCTTTCTCGCCCTCTCCATTGCTGCAAGACCTTCTGAAGACGAGAGCAGGTTTCAGGTGATCGAATAGGGGCAAACAAGCTAGGGGACGTTGGGAGAGGAGACCAGCTACGACTGGTAATTAAGCTTCTGAACTTATCAATTTATTATTTATCCCTTCTTCTAACCAACATTTCCATTTTTTGCTACTTCTGGTGTGTCTTGCTTGGTTAAGCAGTTAAGAAAAGTGAAGAAAGATTCATTCAGAGATATGCATTTCGATGTTGGTTCTTTAGAATGTGGGATCTTTGAGGCAATTTCTGCAGGATTTAACATTGGTTCAGCAGGGAAGCTACTCCGAACCCAGGCCTTAATTGTTTGCAAGGGAAACCATTATTAGGGAAAATCTTGACTTTCATGTTTTAGATCCCACAAGAATTAGATATATAATATTTTATATGTATATATATTCTAAAATCTTATTATTTACGAAGTATTAAAATATAAAAATCAATATAACAAATATTTTATCCTATTAATAAATATGCCCTTTAACGTAATTTCATATTATCCGGACACTTTTCAGCTCTTTCTGCTAAATGGATTTACTTCATTCAGATAGTAATTCAGATTCAGCACTTTAAAGTTCAGTTCCAAACAATAGTCTATGATTCAGACAATAGTCCATAATTCAGACATTAGCCTTCAGCTCTAGCCCGTTGTGCCAAACATAGCCCAAGTCTTTTATGGGAACAATACGGTGCACTATAATTACATGTCTGTAATTAGTCAACCCAAAGCAACAATATAAACACGATGATTCCAGATCTACATATTCAAAATTTAACATGTAAGGTGCACTAGTTTAATAAACATAATTCTGCAACAACATAAGGTTTATCCAAACAATCTCTTTGAATCTATGATAATAATAGAAAAATAAAATCCAAAATAAGTAGGTAGTAAAAATACTTACCATGTAGATATATATCGGTTTTCATAAATATTCAAGAAATCACAAACATTCAACCGTCTATGATCCATGTTACTTTAGATTCCATGTAATTGGTAATAAAATAAAGTGACATAAAAAAATAATTAATATAAACTATTATTTGTACTAAAAATCTTAACATGTACATATAGATTAGTTTCTATATTTTAAAAATTACAATCATATCCATCTCAGTTACCATCTCCTCCATATAATCTTTACAATCATGTACATCTTACCATCATAATACACCGTATTTACAGCTCTATTCTCATTATAGAATGGAAAAATTGAAAATAAAATCTCAATTATTGTGAGCCCTTTCACAATAATCCAAATTATTGATGAGTGTTTTTAAAAAATATTAATCCTTCCATATTTTAAAGTTTGATTACTACACTTTTCTTTTTGGGATGTATTTTAAAGTTTGCAACACTTTTCTTTTTTGGTAAATTTTCCCCTAAAAAAATACTCAATCACCCTTTCTTTTTCTAGTTTTAAATTTTTATCTTCTCTTCCATATTTTCACACCTTCTCTCATATTTTTTGTATACTATTCATTACCCCTACTATTTTTCTTTTGGAATAATGTGCCAAAGCTAATGTAGAAATCTCTACAATAAGGAAGTACTAAAATAAAAATTATTTACACAAACATGACTAATAGTTACTACAATATAGTGTCATGATCACTTATGTTTAAAAATTGAATATAAGTGACCATGACCCCAATTATTGATGGGTTTTTTTCAAATGTAATACTAAAATAAAACTTATTTACACAAATATGACTAATAGTTGTTACTACAACATAGTGTCATTTAATTATTTCATTATTGATTATTTCTTTACAATCTCAAGTATATGACTTGTCCGCCAGTAATAGTCCATGACCGGATATAACCTGCTATGTAGGTAATAGAAGTTTTGCATATTCTATAAACAATCCGAACTATAGTCGTTATTCTTTTAATAATCCCAATCATCAAGTCATTTATTTTACAAAACGTAAAAAAGTTTATTGAAAAGTTTAAAATTAGGATTTTATGATATATAAATTTAACTAAATCTAAAAGCATACGTATTTTAAAAACAAAAGTATTACATTTTATTTCAATTTTCTTTAAAATGTAGTTTCTATGTTTTTGTAAATATTTATTTATTTATTTATTTTCAAATTCATAATTTTGTATTGATTTTGTAATTACTTCTAAAATAATGCAATAATTTAATTAGAATGATTAACTTTTAATATTTAAATGTTTAGATAAATCATTTTTTTCAATTTTAATCCCTTAGAGTTTTTATATTGACATTTTTACTCTCTTTATTTAAATATTTTATATTCCTAATATAATTATAATATCTTACGTATTATAATTTTTAAATTTGAAATTTTGTATAAGCTTTTCCATATTTTATATTTAATGGAGCCAAAGACTCACTATTTTTTGGCTTGGGAATATGATAGAATAAAGCAAAGTGACTTACTAAACTGTCTGCGCTTCTTTGGTATGAAATAACATTCAGTCTATGCAATTTTCGAAGTAATTTTAACTTGGGGTCATTCGGAAACAGACTCTTTGTGTTTTAGTACAGAGGTAAGACTGCGTACATCCGACCCCCCTTAGACCCGCCTTTGCGGCACTGGGGTAATGATGATGATGATATATTTTTTATTATTTAATTCCATAAACTGTCTAACAGGTTAACTATAGTAAAAATAAATATCTAAAATGAATTTTTAATATTTATTTATTTATTTATTTATGAAAATTTTGATTTAATTTTTGTGGTCTAATAAAAGTTGACACATCTTAGTTTGGATTATTACACTTGGATACTGCTTTTTTTGGTTGTCTAAACAGGTAGCCGGTCATGTGAGGCCAATATTGACAGAAAGTCCCTAAAATTAGATTATTCTGAAATTATAAATAGTTGAGATTATTATGAATGAACCGTTGAGATTATTATTACCAATTGTGTAGTATGCTATTACCAATGTTAGCATTAAAATATCTGAAAATCCCCTCTTCGAACGTATTGTCCCTACAAATCAACATTTATTTTAATATTGTCATATGTAATTCACCTTTTCATATTGGCAATGACATATATTAACAGAAAACCCATTAACTTAAATTTTTAATTGATATTAAAAAAACTTACCATGCATGTACACATAGATTAGTTTCTATATTCTAGATATCACAACTATGTGCTATATATGTATTACTTTCTACACCTGGTAATAACATAATTTATTAAGTGACACTAAAAGAAACATACCATGCAGGTAAATATATCAATCACTATATTCTGAAAATTATAACCATGCTCTATCCATATATTACTTTATACTCCATGTAATTGGTAATAGCATAAATAAATCTACATACAAATGATTTAACAAAAAATTATACTATGTAGTTTATACTAAAAAACTTAAAATGTACATACATATAAGTTGTGATCTGTATCTTTTCTTATTAATAAGTTTCTATATCTAGGAAATTACACTCTTGCTCCATCTATATTATTACTTTTAGTCAACTTATATTATAAATTATTTAACTCAAATATAGTATTATATTGGAACTAGGGAGATTTCCAAAAATAGGAGTAAATGGAGTTTGAAATTTCAAAATAGGACTACTATGTTTTTACTTCCAAAATATGACTAACATGACAATATTTACTGTCATCTTGTAGGTGTGACCGCCAAATAGTTACAGTAGTGTGCATTTAACATAATAATACTTATTATAATTAATGACAATATTTTTCAATCAGAGAGGTCACAACAAAAATATGTAAGGAGGTATAAAGGATCGAGGTATATACTTATATCCATGGGCGGATCTATGTAGGGCCTAGGGTGGGCTCTAGCCCAGCCCAACCCAATTTTTTTTGTTAGTATAGAAAGAGATTTAATTTTCAGCTCACCCAAAAATTAAAACTCAGCCCACCCCAAATCTTTAAGGAAGTGTTCTAAGAAGCTCTAAAAGCAAAAGGCTGCCCAAACTTTGTTTAAAGCCCACAGTCATGGGAACAAATGATCCCGAGAACAAATGATCCCGATGCGTAATAATAGAGTTTGGTGTGATTGCACCAAGAAGTGATTTATATATAGGACACTCAAGAGGGTGAACCATCCTTGCGGTCGGTGTGGGATAAATTGAGGAGCAAAACTTTACATACGGAGTATTAAACAATCGTATGTAGTTGGTGTTTGGAGCCAGCTGCAAATTATGCAATCTCATCTCACCCACTCACCCACATCATCGATGAAAGCACTTTTATTTTACGAATATTATTTTACAACATAAAATTTATGATTAATATTATATTATTATTATAATACTGTTATTATTATATGAATATTACTATTATTTGACCCAAGTCACCAAGAGTAACTTTTATAAGCATTAAAATTTAAACATAATTATAATCATTAAAATAACTAAGTTACTCTTTATCAAGTATCCTTATTTGGTCATATACTATTTCTATTATTATTATTATTATTATTATTAAAATTATTAT